ACGAACTTCTAGATTCAACGAATCAAACTGCAAATCTGCAGAACGCATGTCGAACACGACCGGTTGTTGCACTCGACGAACATTTTGTGAAATTGAAGAGGGAAATTGTTGCGAGTTTTCGTGTGCCGTTACATCATTGGTGCTTGAAACTCCTGCATCCCCAGTTCCTTCTTCCACACTGCGTACTTGGCTGTGTGTGCCGCAGCCACCTTTCCCTTTCGCATTCCAAAAATCTCGAGCTAGATGCCCAGTTCTGCCACAAGTGTAACATGTTCTGCCTTTACCTTTGTCACTTTGTTTGCCTGCAATTTGGTTCTGCACGCTTTGTTTGCCACCTGCTTGTTGGTATCCTGTTTGGTTCCATGGCCCGAAGCCAGGATTCTGTTTGCCACCTTGTTGTTGCGAACCTTTGCCTTTTGATGATTGAGACTTGACCTTGCCATCACCTTTGCTATCACCTTTGGTCTGTTTACCCTTGTTGTTCATTCCCTTGGGTTTGCCTTTGCCCTTCTTTCCTTTTTCAATTCGATCCACATCCATGGGAACGGTTTCATGAGAAGGCTCAGACGCAAGGCACATCGCATCGGTCCATTTCAATGTTGCTTTGTCATACCGCACAATGTGCTCACGCAAGTCTGCATATGAAGTCCCATCTTGAACTTGCAATTGAAGCCATGTTTTCAACTGACCCGTGACACAACGGAAAACGACAGCAAAACAAAGTTCTTCCTGTAAAGCCTCGCCAGTCGTACGTTCATATTCACGGAATGCCGCTTCTAACTTCAGGAGTTGTGCAACGACAGAACCGCCTTTCATGGAGAACTGTGGCCAACTCATGATTGCGTTGAGGATGCCTAACGATCTGTTGCGCGAAACTGGTTCCATCGAAAGAACTAATTGCCTAAAAGCTTCAAACCCATTGCTGCCCTCAATTTTCTTCAACATCATCAAGGGTCTTTGGCGAAGAAGGGACGCATACAATCCATACAAGAAAGTGCACCGTTTCTTTTCACTCTCATCCATGATGGACATGTCAACTTCTGCATTTGAATTCTTCCTGATGCAGGCCAGGTCAACTGCAAACTCGGGATCCATGCTAGCTAGATACTGTTCAGCGCTCCAGCTCCATTCCCGCCATTGTGCCAACTCTGCTTCCCGACTGTCAGGATCAAACACGCTAGGACGAGGCAACAAACGGTACCAAGCTTTCTCATCTGATGGCGAACTGCTAGTTCTATTCTTCAATTCAAGCAAGGCTTGTGCTGCTGTTGATGCAGCCATTGATGCTGCTTCCGTTGCCATCAACATCCGGCGGGCTAGCCCCATCAATAGCAGGCTGCGCAGGGCTTTGAGGACTTTGAGGTGAAGCATCACCACCCACACTTGAAGCCATGTATCCAGATTCGAAAGCTCTCAATACAGACTATATGGCGTGGCGCCCGGACTACCAACAACACCTGGGGATAAGGGTCCTGTCCCCCACTACTAGCCCTCGAGCAGACCGTCACGGAATGCTGTCCTTGGGCTCCGCTACCATTGACAAACTCACTCCTTTTGACAGCCAAAGGCCTTGAATGCATACATCCATCAGTGAGCTTTCCACTGATAAGAACTGATACTACACTTAAAGTGTGCATCTCGGTTTGGGAAGCGGACATGAAAATCCTAGTTACAGCCTGTGGCGTCTGTTCCTGTCCTGTAGCTATTGTTGCTCGTATCTGGCCCATTGGCTTTAAACCACCCGCACTGTTTGGGACCTTTTGTTGGGGTTGTTCTGTTTCCAACCGCTGGTGCTGTATTTGTGCGCGTTTGTTTGCGAGTGCTGTGTTGTGTCTTCGGTGTGCCGTTACGACTGTAGTCAACATGCCACATTCGCGCAGTGATGATCGAGTGTCCCGTTTCAAAGTTTGGGCATTGTTGTTTTATGTGTTCTTGCTGCGACAGGACTTCAAATTTGAACGCGCCATGTAGTGAAATTTGGTGACAGACACGGTTGGCCGTCAGTTTCCACAGGCAATGCAGGAGGCAAACTCACCCTCAATCATGTGCGATTGTACGAGGAATTCAACAACACGACATTGAATCCGTTATTTGAAAAAAAATGCAAATTTGCACTTATGTGGAGCATTTCCAGCGGGGATCAGTCAGAATCATTAAACACTGCTAGCGTTTTATGGTTCCCATGGATAGTTTCGTTGCCAAAAAGGCCGAGAAGGGCAAGGGCGCGGGTGCAATTGAGCATGTTTGTTTTTAAACCCATGCTGAATTGAGTTTTGTTTCCGAGAATTTTCTCGCATGACGAAACGCATCGCTTGATCCACTACATGAGTCCAAAAAATTAGTGTGCTCACTCTTCAGGATGTTTTTTTTTGGTGGAAAGGTGGGATGTTCGGTGGGATTCGAGGCCTTGGTTCCCTTGACTGCGGCTTGCAGTCTGAAACCCAACGAGATGGAAAAACGCCTGGCAGAGCGTGAAAGTCAGTGACATGGTTGCATTTTTTGCATGACGCTATGCATGTAATAGAATGGTTTGGTGAGCAGTACACCACATGAGATCCGAATTAGCGGAACAGTGCTATTACCAGCCTGGGCAAGGGCTGACCAATTGATTGAACATGTTCTGGGGGTTCTGTTTGCTCGCAGTTTCATAGTGCTTGATGGCGGTTTGTTGGGTCGTTCACGGCAGGAGTTTGGTTGTGAGTGCTTGGGATTTAACGCCAGGAACATTCATTTCTTCGCCATTTTGTTGATGGTGAGGTATATCAAGTAAACCAATCGACAACCATTGGATGCTTTTACTTTTACACCTTTCCACGTCCAGACTGGTTAAGATTTTCGGCAACCCCAAATTGGGGTCCATTTGAAGTTCTTGCAACCACCGGATTATCAAAATGGCAAATGAAACTGGAGGCTGCGTTGCCAATTCGTGTTGCTATTTGCGCCATTTTGGCAAGCAACACCCCTGGTCGTTGTCGTGGGCTTTGAGTCTGCCTTAGTCCGAGGATTGCTCGATTGGAGAAGGTGCCCTGGAGAGAATGGCAACTGCAAGACCAATCCGTGCATGTTCTCTTTTTGACTCTATTTTCTTTTCTATTTTCCCTTTTCAAAATTTTTCCGAAGCATTGCGCATGCTGAGAGGAGTGAGGAGTGTTTTGCAGGTCTTTCTTTAAGTCTTGGATTCCAAATGCCATCAGTTTGAAAGCATTCAGAAAACATTCAGAAATAGTTTTAAAGCATTCAGAAAGCATGCAAATCTATTGAAGTATATATTCATCCTGATTTTCCATTTCGCACTTCGCCCGAGAACGTAGATCGTGCATTCACGGCATTCTCTGCGCGTTGCACCGCAGGAACTTTCCATGGCTCGCAAGTCGGAGGAGGATCGCGTGGCGAGCTGGAACCTCAGCGAGGCCAATTTTGTCCAATTTGGCTTCGCCCAGTGCACCCCCAAATTGGCGGAGAGATCATATCAAACCTTGATAGATTTGCAGATTTGCATATCGAAGTGAAATAAAATCATGATTCAGCCCAGAGAAGGAGCGAGAGAGAGAGAGAGAGCAGACCATCATCCTGAAGTAGACCCTTGAGGACTCAGAAAGGAACTGGCTACCTCGCGAGACGACAGAAGTGAGGCAAGGTTGGACGTGAAACTTGCCTGGCACATAGTCTCGGAAGGAGAGTATGTGGACATATCTAAAATATGGACCAAAACAAATTATCAGATGCACACTTCGTTGCTTACAGCGTGTTCGAGCCAGGTCAAAGTGAAGTTTGAAATTGAAAAGCAAAGATGGACAGCACGGCCCTTTTCATGAGTCGGTGGAGCCTAGGGGTTTCTCAAAGGTTTTAAGGTACATAACCCGATTTGTGAGTTATCGTTGGCAGCGGCTTTATTTTTTTTTTACAATCACAGCCTTCTAGTTGGTGTCAGTGCTTGTAACATCGTCAAAATCATTACCTTCCAAGTTTGTAGGAGCGCAATCCTACAAACACTGAAGGATGATGAGGCGCAGTCCCGTCCTGCCGGTATTCTTGCACCTTACTCTTACATTCCTACATTATTATTGCCTAAACATGCCTAAACAATGTAACAACTTAGTGACCTGGTGGAAGAGGCTGACAAGTGTCATGCAGCGGATGCAGTCTTTTTGGTTCTTGGTTTACACAAAAACAAACAGCAAACAATTTGAGTACTTTGTGTCTTGAAGGGTCACCATGTTTTTTTTTTAACGTGGAGTGGAGTTTGGATCGATGGCAAACAGGTTGTGCAAGACGTTGGCTACAACATGCAGGCGGCAACTGTTTTCGTTGCTTTGGAGTTGTCACTGTTTTTAGAGGCGGTCTAAGTTAGAAGTGTGCGACTGGGTCAAACGATGTCACCACAATTCCTGAGGCCATATTGGAGAGGCTGCAAAAGGTGCGGCAGAGCAAAGATCGGGCAGAGGTGGGACGTGCTTCCATTACACAAGCATACCCTGAACCGTTGCAAATGTTGCGAATACCTTGTCACGCCAGTGGTTTGCGGATGCGCACGTGACCAAAATTGGATTGAGAGAGCAAACCAAACTCATGAGTCGATTACATTCTGTCCTTGCACTATCCACGCGTTGGTATTTTTCCGCAAAGGCAGAAACTGGGCGGTTGAGCAGTTGAGCGGTAGAGTGGTTAAGCAGTTTGAGCAGTTGAGATGTAGCTGCCAGTGCTTTGGAGTAGCGAGGCGCAAAACTTGGACCTGGAAGCCACCAAGACGACTTTGGAAGACCAGTTGCAGGTCTACTCTGAAATCTACGACGCATCTTTCCACGGTTTCATTTTTCTTCAAGTATGATATTGATATTGATCGCTTTATGCTTCAGAGAACTCCAGTATCACTTGTGACGCAGTGATTTTTGATTATTTTGTGCTTAATTGGTACCGGAGGGGCGGGGGCCCCAAATGCCATTGCATCCATGGTGTAGGCATTGGAGCAGCGGCTTACAGAGACAAAGGAATCATTGACCATGGAACTGGAAAACAACAAGGTCGCCCTTGGCACTTGTGAAGCCGCCAAAACCCAAGTGGAGGCGACGTTCAAACGGCTGAACTTCCTATTGTGTTTTCGTTTTTGTTTCCATTTTCCCCGTTTGTTCTGATGTTTACTGTGCAATTTGATGAACTTTAATCATGTTAGGCTGAACTGACGACTTCAAAGGCCTCCATCCAATCGCTTGAGGAACAACTCCAGAATCAGAAGGACCAGGGCAATCTTGGAGAGGGACTCCTTGAGTCACACAGATGAACATTGCTGCCCCAGAAATCCAATTAGGCTATGACACACAGCAGCATGGACTTGAGTCTTTCTGGCTGAACTCTTCCCGTTCAGTTCTCTTTTGAGGAGACCTCAGACAAGGAGTTGGAGACTTTGAAAGCTGCTTCTAGTTCGTTGCAGGCATCAAAAACAGCCTTGGAAGCAGAACACAAGGAGCAGAAGGATTTGGTAGCTTCACTTGAAGAACAACTCGAAAAGCAAAAGCAACTAACAGATGCAGAGGCAGAATCCAAGGCTGATGTCGAAAGAAAACTTCAAGAAGCGCAGGCGTCAGAGCTGGCTTTGAGGAACAACCTTGAGGCAAAAATGGCGATAGAACCAGAGTCAAAGGCTGATGTCTCGACTGACGTGGCTGAGAGGAAGTCAGACTCTGAAAAGAACCAGGAAAAGGACAGATGCGGAATTGCTAATGCCACTTGTCCCCCACTTCTTTCCCACTTGTCTCCCACTTGTTTCCCACCTGTCTTCTACTTGTCTCCCGCTTGTTTCCCTACTATTGCCTATTGTGTCCTACTTGTCTCCCACTTTTTAGCGCTTGTCTCCCACTTATTCCCCATTTTGCCTCTACTCCCACATTTCTCCCGCTCCCACTTCTCTCCCAGTTGTCTCCGACTTGTCTCCCAGTTGTTGTCTCCCACTTGTCTCCCCACCGGAAAAATTGTTTCCACTTGTCTCCCAATTGTTTCGCACACTTGTTTTATAGATGGAAGCTGCTCTTGGATGCAAACTACTCACGAAGGAATTTAACCCTAGAATCTTCTCATCCTGGAATTCGGAACTCTCACGCCTGTTGGGTTGTGAAGCTGGATTAATTTGTGTGTCATGGTGAAAGGCTGCAAGCACTCTGCACGCACACAAAGTCCTTCCCAGTCAATGTGAACATACACAAGTGTTGACAGCAGCTGTGAGGAAACCTTGGAAAAGGAGTTGGAGGCGGTGAACGCTGCTTCCAGTTCTCTAGAAGCCTCGAAAGCGGCTCTGGAAGCGGAGCTAAAGGAGCAGAAAGATTTGGTGGCGTCACTGGAAGAAAAGTTCCAAAAACAGCAGGAACTTACAGATGTGGCGGCAGAATCCAGGGCTGCCATGGAAAAAAAACTTCAAGAAGCAGAGGCCTCAGAGACAAGCATCAGATCGGAGCTTGAAGCAGCCAAGACCTCCGCATCTCAACAGACGGCTGCAATGGAAGCAAAATTGCAAGAATTTGAAGCATCCCACACTGCCCTCACCAGCGAGTTGCAGCGGTCCAGGGCAGCAGAAGCTGCCTCTGTGGAACTGAATGGAGAATTAATGAACCAAATGCAAGATGCAGATGATCGGGCCTCATCCCTGACCGTGGAGCTTATTGCTGCTAAGGACGGTCCCGACAATATGACGGGAAACCTACAATTCTTCTCCTAAATATCCTAACTCTTGACTGTGAAGTGCTTTGTTTCCACTTTATGGACTTGTAGACTTTTTTTTTGCTACCCCATGCTGCTTTGTGGTGTTTCCTCCAGAGAAGTCCTTTTGGTTGTCAGTGACCGGTGCTTCCTTTCGGAAGGACAGCCTGCGCTCGTGCCAGAACTTTAAAATCGCTTTAGAGGCGGCTGGGGTGAACTGTCGGAAAGGTTTCGTGAGTTTTTGGGTTCGAGTTTGAGTTCACTTTGCGGTAGGGCGGTTTGATGGACTTCAAGGAGAGGCTACGACGCGTGCTTGAGCCAGAGGAGGTGGTGAAGGGGGCAGCTTGCATTCGTGCTGGGCGTGTGCAATGTGCGTTGAACAAATTGCATCAAGGTTGCCAAGCAATATGCTTCACACATTTTTTCAATTGAAATAGGGAACAGGAATGACGGCCGAAAAGAAGCTTCACCAGTCCACCATCAAGATGGGCAACATTTTGTTTGCAATGTTCACTGAAATGTGGCAATATATGGCAATCAGATGTGCTGGTGGTGGGTAGCACTCTGGGTGTTTGGCGCCAGGGCGATGCATTTGCAGGACAGAAAAGCATCCGCCGTCGGGGGTGCCAATTGTCCTGTAATCCGATTGTGTGGGAGTTCATTGATGCTTTTGCAGGGTTTGCTCTTCCACCTTTGCAAGGAAGCTGTTATCAAACCATACCAAATCAGCCAATTCAACTGGAACCTTTCAACTGTGAGCAGGACACTCGCGGCGCCAGTCCATGGCATCTTGGTGCCAAAGGCGACAGGACACAGCAGATAGTTGCGGGATATTGGTGCCAGTTGGGACATGTGGTAAGTATTGGGTCTTGGGAAGGAGCTCCTTTGAAGTGAAAAAGTGAAAAAAATAAAAAGGTCTTCTGAGTCTTTGACTTCTTGTTCCGAACTTGAAACTTGGGCGCCATTGGCCAGGAGTTTGACCCGTGGTTGGAGGCTGCAGCGGGGAATCGGCATTGCGATGCGGGTACAACCCTGGAAGCCACCAGAATGGAGGAGGGATTTGGTATATAATGCCAGGATTTCTCCATTCCTCTTTTGTTGGGCTGGTGGTTGGGGTGTAAGGAAGTACGATGAAACCGCTTGGATTTGTGAATTTTGTTCTTTTTGAGGTGAAGGAAGCAGTGGCCTCTTTGGAGAAGCAAATGTCCAAGGTGCTCGGCATTCAACTGCCGAAATTGACATTAGATTGTGAAAGCGACACTCGGTCATCGACAAGAACTTGCCGTTTTACCTACCGCCAGCTTTATTATTGGACACCTCACGGTGAGACTCACGTCACGTGCGACCAGGAAGCAAAAGATGTTGCTCTCCAAGACATCACGGCAATGAAAGCCGAGTTGGATGAGAGGAGAGGCTACGTGTTATCCCTCGAAGGGCAGGTGGAGCAACAGACACTCGATCTTTTGATGAAGGTCAGTGTGTATCAATTTGACAATCGCTTTCTTATAATTAACGCCGCACAATCTGCACAGCAAGACAACATACTGCCACCCTCAGCGGAAGATTAGGGGAAAACAGTCAAGAAGAGCATTCCCATTCCTAGACCTGAGACATCCTGAGACTCAGCCTGTGCAATGCATGATCTCAACATCCCAAGACGTCCCAATGACATCCGGCGTCCAAGGAAGCAATCCATCCAGGCACATCAACAGACCTCTGCTGAATTCGAGGCAAAGCTTCAGGAGGCCTCCGCATCAAAGGTCGCACTCACGACCCAGCTGGAGGACGCTTCGATTCCACTGTGTTTGTGTCACCGGGCATTGCCATGCAACAAAATGCAGAGAATAGCGTTGGATTCGATACCAGGGTATACTGGGCTCATTCGTGCCGTTGTTAAAACTTGGGTAAATTGAGTTTAATTGCCTTGGGGGTGGTCATCACTCCTTTATTGAGGACCCATGGTAAGGAACGGTAAGGATTCCCATCACGAGATGGATGACCAACCAATTTCTTATGTTTTGACTCAACCATGGCACATTGGATCTCCAAACAATTTTGGTTCAAGGTATCATGTTGTACCAACTTACTACTGGCACAGAGTCATCTCATTTTAATTGATTTGTAGGGGGATTCTTTGAGTTGATTACACGAGAGTTGCTCCTGTCTGTAGTTCAATGGCATGATGACTTTTGCCAACGGGCAACTTCCAATGCGATGTTCTCAAGGTATCATCCCATGATTGATCCCCTAATCACAAGTGTCGTTAACCCCCTCCCACTTTCACAAGTTGCTCCACAAGAACAAGTGAAACGTCCTTCCCCACACCTTATTTATATATACAATACATACATTACATAGGTTTCAAACATATCGAGCGATTCTCTGACACCTCCTGGCGCAAGTTGAATGTACACCTACAAGAACCCAGCGTTTCGGACGTTTTGTTGGCACAATCTAGCTGGCAAAGGTGAGCGCAGATTCAACGTCAGAAATCGTTGGCCCGTACGCCATATCCGCACATTCCAGGATGCTTTGAAAGCATGTCAAGATTCCAAGACCGACCTCGAGGTCTGAAAGCTGCGGGAGAGACGGCCTTGTAAAGCTGCTGGCACTGCTAGTAGCGCAGGATTATTCATATAATATTGACGTTGCTAGTACCAACCAGTATGTAGATAGTGAAGGAACAAGGAGTTGCTGTGACATGATGCTGTTGGATTGTTCACAAACTGCCATGGGTGGGTTGCCCAACTTCGAAAGTTCTTTCCTGCCAAGGTTTGCAGGTTTCAAGCCAAACTTGCTTATTATACATACGTACATTGAAAGTAGCGAGTATAAACACTCATAATTACTTTTTGGGCCAAACTGACCCAAAACTGTGGCTAAAGGGATGGCAAAACCACTGGCAGAAGGCCTGGCGCGACTCAAGAAACCTGATTTTTTTTTGGCTTTGTGGCCGGCAAACTTAGCGGCAGAACCTGTGGTTAACTCTGTGGGAAGGAAAAGCCATGGGATTTGTGCCGGCAAGTCGTATGGCAGAGCATTCGAAGCAGTGATGGACAAGCAAAATTAGGGGCAAATGTCCCGGCAAGAGGCCCGGCAAAGCGCGCGAACTAGCTCTGGCCAAGCCAAATACACGGACATTTTCAATGGCAAATGTGTTCAATGCAAGAGTCAATGAAAGTTGGTGCATGTTGGTACGTTTCAACGTGGAAAAACTGAACAATGAAAATCAATATTGCACCCCCCTCTGAATGGGGTCCCAGCAAAAAAGATCTGTTACTCTACCAGGGAAGCCATCTTATTGGTGATTTTTTCCATACGCTGACTTGGACAATGCCCGGGCAATTGCAAAAAACGTTTCTTTGATTGGCAGACGCCTGGCAAGAACCTGGCACAATCCCAGCAATAAATTCAAAGGCGGGTCGGGAGCAGGAACCTTGTTGGTGGAAACCCAGCAAAACCTGGCACCACCCGGCGGAACTGACCTGGCGAAGCCTGGAACCCAGCGGAACCTAGCGGAACCCGGCGGAGCGGCGGAACCCAGCGGAACCCGGCGGAACCCGGCGGAACCCGGCAGAGGAACCCGGCAGAGGAACCCGGCAGAGGAACCCGGCAGAGGAACCCGGTGGAAACTTGGCGGAACCCGGCGAAAAGAAAGTAAGTTGAACGGGGGGTGGTTGGGAGTATAAACCAAAAGGTAGACTCCCAACCACCCCTCTTCAACTTACCTTTCCGCCGGGTTCCGCCAGGTTTCCGCCAGGTTTCCGCCGCGTTCCACCGGGTTCCGCAAGGTTTTGCCGGGTTTTGGTAAGTTCCCGGCGGGATTCCGCCAGCCTCGGGCTTCTGCAAGGTTAGTGCGAAGCCGTCTGGTTTGCGTCAAGTTCTTATTCCCAGGTTTCTGCCAAGCCCCCCACCGTCTCCAACGCAAGACCCGTCACAACTAGTCACAATTTAAGCGTTCTTTTTCTTTTCAGCTGAATTGTCAGCTCAGCACTGCTTGCCTGAGGGGCGGCAGCTGCTTGAGCACCTTTGCTGTGAAATCAGGGTCCATGCAACCAACTTGTCCAGTCCAATGCGCGGCGCTGGACGCTGGACCCCTTTACCATCAGCTTGGCAGGCGCTAAAAACGATAATGAAAACCCGGTATGCACCTGGTGTCCGGCAGTGAACTATTGAAGTAATGCCAGGCGCATCCCAACTTGGAAGCAAATAATGATCAATAATTTATGTTGGTGCCAGGTTGTGCCTTTTGAGGCAACATTTCTACTCGGTTTGCGGCTCTTTTTTGCTTCGCATTTTTGCTAACTTGACCGGCATGTTGCCGCCTAGTTTGCCGGGGGTTCGGCCGGATGCTTGGCCAGGGCCGAAACCACGATTTTCATCTTGTTTCTGGGGAGTGTTTTTACTCCCAGGCTTAGTCCAATATATATATATATATACATATTATATCTATATACATGTATCTAATATAACTGTACATATACATGTATGTTTGTATGTTTGTTTGTTTGTATGTATGTATGTATGTATGTGACGTGATGTGATGTGATGTGATGTGATGTGATGTGATGTGATAGAATGTTATGTAATGTAATGTAATGTAAAGTATATAGTGTAATGTAAGTAATGTAACGTGTGTACAGAATGTAAATGCAAATAAATGTAAATGTAAAGGCAAAGGTAAAGTAAAGTAATGTAGGTAATGTAATGCAATATAATGTAATTAATGTATGTATGTATCCATACATGGGTATTATTGCACATATCAACGACTGATTATATCAAATAGGTACACACATGCATGCATAGATGTATTCATCCAAACATATGGATTTATGTATATATATATATTTACATAAACAAATGGAGATCAATCATGAATAAATAATAAATCCATTAATTAAACAAACAAACAACCACACACACATATATATATATAATATAAATATGTAAATATGTATATATATATATGTATATATGTATATATGTATACATCTATATGTATATGCATACACATGTTTGAAATTGTTTCCACCAATGGCCCTCCAGTGCAGAGGCTGGCCTTCGGAACATTTTTGAGCGCGTGGTAGCATTGGTCGAGAGCCATCAGGCATGCGGTGCAAATGTGAACACAGCTGTTTGTGTTCGAGTTTTTCATCTTGTTCTTCTTGTAGGTTTGAGGCTTTTCATGAAGGCAGCCGTGAAGGCATGTAAAAGACGCAAAATCATGTACTTTCATGTGCTTTCCATCCTGAATACCTTAAACGGCACTACGCGCGGACTATGCCCTGTGGAAGCATTCTAGATTCTAGACGTTCTCACAGCTGTGATTAGGACAATCCTCTCACTTTGCAAATTCAGAAATTCTGATCTGCCGAATGAACTTAGCGCAGGTTGACTCTGATCCGGAGCAAGGCTGGGAGGGTGCCCTCTGGTCTTCTTTTGTTCTTGAAGGCGTTCCCCCAAGATGGGATTGGTGTGGACAAATATATATATATATATATTTATATTTATATTTATAATCAAATATGGATTGGAATTCATGGGACCAGGTGTGGCTGGGTGTGGCCAAGGACAGGCGTTCGGATCGGGTCACATAGCCAGGTGAAGGCGTGCCGCGTCGCTCGATCTGTGGTGATGCTTCAATCTGCAAACGTCGTCGGAGAGACGTGGGGAGCTCGGATTGCCATCCCAAGACACTGCTCTGGTTCTGACTGTGACTTGAATGGTAGTGCAGGTGGTGCAGTTTACGAATCTGATTGTTCCAATGCGGATAGATTTGGATGAGTGGTCGGGTGTGCTCCGGGGTGTCACTGGATGTCACTGGATGTCAGATGTTGTTGGCTTGATCTGAGGGCGAGGGATTTGGAGGCTGGTGCTCTCGGCGGAAGGACGGTGCTGGGTGCTGGGATGGTCCAAGATGGTCGAAGTGTTCGGTGGTCTGGTTCCGCCTTTGTTTTTGAAGGCCTGACTGGCCTGACTGGCCTGACTGGCCTGACTGGCCTGACTGGCCTGACTGGCCTGACTGGCCTGACTACACATTTTGCACGGACTCTTGTTCGAATATGTTCGAATGACATTTGGAAGAGACGAAACACACTTGCGTAATCTTGCGTAGGTGTTGGTTCATGGCTCCCAGTTTGTGCTTGATTATTAATTGATTCCGATGGATGGATAGGCTCGAGGAATGTTTGCAAAGTGATGGTTGGATCTAGAATGTAGTGGTGTCAGGTTGGTAAACTATGAATTATGAACTCAAAGTGGGTTTCCAACCACCAAAATTTCATTCGTGTCTGTGCATGCTACCTTGGACCACAGAAATGCCGCATGCCAATTGACATGTTGGGAGGAGCCAGTTGAAGTTGCTCAAGTTGCAGCTCAATTAGAGGCCAAGTGCGACAAAAGATGGTAGGACACGTTATCCACCTGATCCTGCTGTAAATCTGCCATGTTCTACATGTAAATTGTGTAAATCCTACCCTTGGAGCTTTGCGCAGCTTTATTCCTTTTGTCAGAGGGCTCTAGCAGCTGGCACCATCTCACATTCTTTGGAGTTTTGGTGCACCTACTGGACCTGCTTACTCAAACCACGTTTGCTATGCAAGCCTCCCTTGGAGATATCAATGTGCATTAATCGAATTACAGTAATCGTGTCAAAATATATATGTTCAAAGATGTGAAGTCTTGAGAATGGCATTGCCATGAAACAGATGAAACAGTTGGTTTGTAGTTCTTCTGTCAGCTTGGCCAGGTGCTTGCAGATGCCTTTGAACAGATGCAGCTGTCCAAGGCTCACACTGCTTGCTGAATCGAAAGGGTGATATTGACACTGCCCACTGGCGATCATTTGCACGTTAGAGCGGAGAGTTATACAAGCTAAAAATGGTCTGCACAACTTGACTGCGACCTTTCTACTGGCCAGGAATCACAGAAGAGAGCTCTTGAGGGCTTGACAGGATTGAAGTCAGAGTTGGAAGAGAAGAAGAACCATGTCCTGTCCCTCCAAGAGCAGATGCAACAGCAGACTCTCGCCCGTTCTGTTTGCACTGGAGTGAGTTTTTTCGTGATTGTGCACGGGATTGCACCGGATTTTTTGTACGGGCACACGTGCACAAACACAGCTAGCAGCTAGCATTTTCAAACACACACACACAGGGAGGTATTGTATAACCTAACCTCCACCGACTTACTACCTGCTCCGGTTTCGATGCCAAAACGCAGTGCTCCTGACAACTGATCTTCAACCTTTCCTTCAGACAATGATTTGGTTCCTTTTTGATGGCCAAAGGTGTTGGCAGGATGACACGCCAAGTGATGTGTGACCCTTCCACAGGAAAGAGTTGCTGGATGCACATGAGGAAGGTGCGGCTGAAGTGCAGCTTAAGGAAACCTTGGCTTCCAAGGAAGCACTCGTTGCAGAGTTGGAGGACGCCGGTGCCACGAAAATCAGTACAGCAACGTTGCAGTTTCATGCTCAAATCTTAAGAAGGTCCTTGTTCAGGCATTTCTAGGCATTGTTTTGGGCAACTGCGAGGAGCGCAAAGCATCAGCAGCCGTGGCGGCGGAATCCCAAGCTGAGCTAGCAAGGAAAGTCGCAGAGTCCGCAAATGAAGTAGCGGCTCTGCGACAGGAACTTGCAACCGCCGAGGCAGGTCACTGCAATATGCAAGATGCTGCAAGATACAGAGCAGTTCTTGTCCACGAGTCTCAGTCACACCCGGACTTGTTGGAGGGTTCGAAGCAAATCTCCGTATCGTGTCTTAGCTTTGTGGCTGGAAAACATATTTTGCAGAGATTTCAGCAGAGTTCCAGACTCAGCACTTTGGAGGATGCCTTGAGCTCATGCCAAACATCCAAGAGAGAAGTAGAGGCCCCGAGGGCGCTGGGAAAGCTGCATGGGCTGCATGACTCATGGCTGTGAGACGTATTGAAGATCCCATGCATGTATTCGAAGTCCTTCGAAGGGAATCTGATGCAAGGCGTGCAAAGCCCTTGTAGGCTTTGCATGGCTTTGCACGGCTTTGCATGGCTTTGCATGGCTTTGCATGGCTTTGCATGGCTTTGCATGGCTTTGCATGGCTGGTCTTGTGGAAGCTGTGGCCAGGAGGCGAAGTCTACTATTGAAGCCAGGCTCCAGGAAGCAGAGGCATCGCAGGCTTCTCTGACCGAAGAGTTGCAGGACTTGGCGCAGCTTCGCACATCTTGGCGCTTAGCACCTTCTGTGTTGACAATTTTGGTACCGTCCCTGGCCTGTCTTTTTTTGAGTCTTGCGGCATGTGGGGGTCAGAACGGGAAAGCATAGGAAAACAACCCTTCAAAGATATTGATATATATATATATATGTGTGTGATATATATATTGATTACTAGTGAAACAGTCCCTCCACCATCCTCCACCTGACATCTTCCCTTTGCAAGTTCAAGAGCGACATGCCAAAACCATTCGTTCCTCGATTTTCTCCCCGTTTCCTCCCTTTGGCAAGGAGGCCAGGGCAACTGCGACAGCATCCGAAACTTCGAAAACCGAGCTCAGCCAAAAAGTCTCGGAAGCCAATGAGCGTATGGCTGCTCTACAGATACAAGTGACTACTTCCGAGGCACAGCGCCGGGCAGCTGGATTGATCATGAGTGATCATGAGTGATCATGAGTGATCACACACTAGGGGACGCAAGTGGACATGGCTTTTGGATGCTTTTGGATTCTCACATTCTGACCCTGGTTGCGCAAAGTCTCATGGCAGGATTCTTTGAGCTCCTGTCAAAGCTCGAAAACAGCGCTTGAGGCTGACAAAGCCTTTGTTCTGTGTATGGAGTCGAGTTGCAAGCGACCTCTTGCAAATGTTGTAGCAACAGATTGCTGGACGGTTTGTATCAATACAAGACAATGCATGCATCTATTTGGATTACTTGTCATCCTGCGTGTTCCCTCCAGGGTCATCCGTTTGCAAGTGAGTCTGAAGGCAGGCCTCCAGAACCTCCGGGAGAGAGTGGTGACGTTGGTGCGGAGCTACCAGGCACGGTTTGCATCTTCAGGTGAGCCATGGAACATTGGCCGTCCTTGGACTTTGCCTTTTCCTCTTCTGCATCATGATCATCATGCCATCATGCCCAGTCTTTGCTCCTGTTTCTTCCGGTCTCTTCCAGCATTCCTTTTCTGGTTTGGGAACTGTTGGCATGATGTTGGCATGATGTTGGCATTATGTTGGCATGATGTTGACATGATGTTGGCAGCAGGGAATGTCCAACTTTCTGATTTGCCGAACCATTGTAGGTTGATGCAGAGGCGGAGCAAGGCGGGGTGGGGCCTGGTTTCCTTTTCTGCAAGTGGCTCGAGAGGGCGGTCCCCGCAAGCAGATTGGACTGGCATGGATAGGTACGGATTTGGTATGAATGGATGGGGCATTGAGCGGTGGGTCACATAGCCAGGTGAAGGCGTGCCGCGGCGCTCGATCTGTGGTGATGCTTCAATCTGCAAACGTCGTCGGAGAGACGTGGGGAGCTCGGATTGCCATCCCAAGACACTGCTCTGGTTCTGACTGTGACTTGAATGGTAGTGCAGGTGGTGCAGTTTACGAATCTGATTGTTCCAATGCGGATAGATTTGGATGAGTGGTCGGGTGTGCTCCGGGGTGTCACTGGATGTCACTGGATGTCAGATGTTGTTGGCTTGATCTGAGGGCGAGGGATTTGGAGGCTGGTGCTCTCGGCGGAAGGACGGTGCTGGGTGCTGGGATGGTCCAAGATGGTCGAAGTGTTCGGTGGTCTGGTTCCGCCTTTGTTTTTGAAGGCCTGACTGGCCTGACTGGCCTGACTGGCCTGACTACACATTTTGCACGGACTCTTGTTCGAATATGTTGGAATGACATTTGGAAGAGACGAAACACACTTTCGCAGGTGTTGGTTCATGGCTCCCACTTTGTGTGCTTGATTAATTGATTCCGATGGATAGATAGGGGTGAAGATAGGCCCTGATAGGCCCTGATAGGCCCTGATAGGCCCTGATAGGCCCTGATAGGCTCCAGGAACGTGTTACACAATGTAAGATGGCACAAGATGTGTCTACTGATGGGCTGACTTGATGTCAAACCAAGCGCGAAGGAAGAAGCAGTTGAAGTGGCTGAAGTTGCAGCACAGTTAGAGGCAAAGTTATGGGTAGAAATCGCAAAAGCAATGCAGCACAATGTTTGGGAAGAACCCTGCTAGACTGACAACTAGCATCGATGACGTCAGTGCAAACGATTGGCTTTGTGTAGGTGCTCGCAGAGACCTTGGCGCAGATGCAGCGTGCGGAGGCTTGCCAATGCAAGCTACATCTTGTATTGACCAGAGGTTGGAAAGAGAAGATGGCTTGACACCATACAGCCTAGTAGGGTAGACCAGTATTGCTGCACTCAAGAGTTGTCGAGAATCAGGGTAGTGTTGTGATCAAGTTTGCTTGGGTGCGTCCATTCCGGTTCGGTCAATCACTTGATGGTTTGCACAACTTGACTGCGACCTTTCTACTGGCCAGGAATCACAGAAGAGAGCTCTTGAGGGCTTGACAGGATTGAAGTCAGAGTTGGAAGAGAAGAAGAACCATGTCCTGTCCCTCCAAGAGCAGATGCAACAACAGACTCTCGCCCGTTCTGTTTGCACTGGAGTGAGTTTGTTTGTGATTGTGCACGGGATTGCATGGGATTTTTTGTAAGGGCACACGTGCACAAACACAGCTAGCAGCTAGCATTTTCAAACACACACACACAGGGAGGTATTGTATAACCTAACCTCCACCGACTTACTACCTGCTCCGGTTTCGATGCCAAAACGCAGTGCTCCTGACAACTGATCTTCAACCTTTCCTTCAGACAATGATTTGGTTCCTTTTTGATGGCCAAAGGTGTTGGCAGGATGACACGCCAAGTGATGTGTGACCCTTCCACAGGAAAGAGTTGCTGGATGCACATGAGGAAGGTGCGGCTGAAGTGCAGCTTAAGGAAACCTTGGCTTCCAAGGAAGCACTCGTTGCAGAGTTGGAGGACGCCGGTGCCACGAAAATCAGTACAGCAACGTTGCAGTTTCATGCTCAAATCTTAAGAAGGTCCTTGTTCAGGCATTTCTAGGCATTGTTTTGGGCAACTGCGAGGAGCGCAAAGCATCAGCAGCCGTGGCGGCGGAATCCCAAGCTGAGCTAGCAAGGAAAGTCGCAGAGTCCGCAAATGAAGTAGCGGCTCTGCGACAGGAACTTGCAACCGCCGAGGCAGGTCACTGCAATATGCAAGATGCTGCAAGATACAGAGCAGTTCTTGTCCACGAGTCTCAGTCACACCCGGACTTGTTGGAGGGTTCGAAGCAAATCTCCGTATCGTGTCTTAGCTTTGTGGCTGGAAAACATATTTTGCAGAGATTTCAGCAGAGTTCCAGACTCAGCACTTTGGAGGATGCCTTGAGCTCATGCCAAACATCCAAGAGAGAAGTAGAGGCCCCGAGGGCGCTGGGAAAGCTGCATGGGCTGCATGACTCATGGCTGTGAGACGTATTGAAGATCCCATGCATGTATTCGAAGTCCTTCGAAGGGAATCTGATGCAAGGCGTGCAAAGCCCTTGTAGGCTTTGCATGGCTTTGCACGGCTTTGCATGGCTTTGCATGGCTTTGCATGGCTTTGCATGGCTTTGCTGGGAGTGACTGGTCTTGTGGAAGCTGTGGCCAGGAGGCGAAGTCTACTATTGAAGCCAGGCTCCAGGAAGCAGAGGCATCGCAGGCTTCTCTGACCGAAGAGTTGCAGGACTTGGCGCAGCTTCGCACATCTTGGCGCTTAGCACCTTCTGTGTTGACAATTTTGGTACCGTCCCTGGCCTGTCTTTTTTTGAGTCTTGCGGCATGTGGGGGTCAGAACGGGAAAGCATAGGAAAACAACCCTTCAAAGATATTGATATATATATAAATAATATATATATATATTGATTACTAGTGAAACAGCCCCTCCACCATCCTCCACCTGACATCTTCCCTTTGCAAGTTCAAGAGCGACATGCCAAAACCATTCGTTCCTCGATTTTCTCCCCGTTTCCTCCCTTTGGCAAGGAGGCCAGGGCAACTGCGACAGCATCCGAAACTTCGAAAACCGAGCTCAGCCAAAAAGTCTCGGAAGCCAATGAGCGTGTGGCTGCTCTACAGATACAAGTGACTACTTCCGAGGCACAGCGCCGGGCAGCTGGATTGATCATGAGTGATCATGAGTGATCATGAGTGATCATGAGTGATCACACACTAGGGGACGCAAGTGGACATGGCTTTTGGATGCTTTTGGATTCTCACATTCTGACCCTGGTTGCGCAAAGTCTCATGGCAGGATTCTTTGAGCTCCTGTCAAAGCTCGAAAACAGCGCTTGAGGCTGACAAAGCCTTTGTTCTGTGTATGGAGTCGAGTTGCAAGCGACCTCTTGCAAATGTTGTAGCAACAGATTGCTGGACGGTTTGTATCAATACAAGACACTGCATGCATCTATTTGGATTACTTGTCATCCTGCGTGTTCCCTCCAGGGTCATCCGTTTGCAAGTGAGTCTGAAGGCAGGCCTCCAGAACCTCCGGGAGAGAGTGGTGACGTTGGTGCGGAGCTACCAGGCACGGTTTGCATCTTCAGGTGAGCCATGGAACATTGGCCGTCCTTGGACTTTGCCTTTTCCTCTTCTGCATCATGATCATCATGCCATCATGCCCAGTCTTTGCTCCTGTTTCTTCCGGTCTCTTCCAGCATTCCTTTTCTGGTTTGGAAACTGTTGGCATGATGTTGGCATGATGTTGGCATTATGTTGGCATGATGTTGACATGATGTTGGCAGCAGGGAATGTCCAACTTTCTGATTTGCCGAACCATTGTAGGTTGATGCAGAGGCGGAGCAAGGCGGGGTGGGGCCTGGTTTCCTTTTCTGCAAGTGGCTCGAGAGGGCGGTCCCCGCAAGCAGATTGGACTGGCATGGATAGGTACGGATTTGGTATGAATGGATGGGGCATTGAGCGGTGGGTCACATAGCCAGGTGAAGGCGTGCCGCGGCGCTCGATCTGTGGTGATGCTTCAATCTGCAAACGTCGTCGGAGAGACGTGGGGAGCTCGGATTGCCATCCCAAGACACTGCTCTGGTTCTGACTGTGACTTGAATGGTAGTGCAGGTGGTGCAGTTTACGAATCTGATTGTTCCAATGCGGATAGATTTGGATGAGTGGTCGGGTGTGCTCCGGGGTGTCACTGGATGTCACTGGATGTCAGATGTTGTTGGCTTGATCTGAGGGCGAGGGATTTGGAGGCTGGTGCTCTCGGCGGAAGGACGGTGCTGGGTGCTGGGATGGTCCAAGATGGTCGAAGTGTTCGGTGGTCTGGTTCCGCCTCTGTTTTTGAAGGCCTGACTGGCCTGACTGGCCTGACTGGCCTGACTACACATTTTGCACGGACTCTTGTTCGAATATGTTCGAATGACATTTGGAAGAGACGAAACACACTTGCGTAGGTGTTGGTTCATGGCTCCCAGTTTGTGCTTGATTAATTGATTTCGATGGATGGATAGGCCCTGATAGGCCCTGATAGGCCCTGATAGGCCCTGATAGGCCCTGATAGGCCCTGATAGGCCCTGATAGGCCCTGATAGGCCCTGATAGGGTGCTCCAGGAACGTGTTACACAATGTAAGATGGCACAAGATGTGTCTACTACTGATGGGCTGACTTGATGTCAAACCAAGCGCGAAGGAAGAAGCAGTTGAAGTGGCTGAAGTTGCAGCACAGTTAGAGGCAAAGTTATGGGTAGAAATCGCAAAAGCAATGCAGCACAATGTTTGGGAAGAACCCTGCTAGACTGACAACTAGCATCGATGACGTCAGTGCAAACGATTGGCTTTGTGTAGGTGCTCGCAGAGACCTTGGCGCGGATGCAGCGTGCGGAGGCTTGCCAATGCAAGCTACATCTTGTATTGACCAGAGGTTGGAAAGAGAAGATGGCTTGACACCATACAGCCTAGTAGGGTAGACCAGTATTGCTGCACTCAAGAGTTGTCGAGAATCAGGGTAGTGTTGTGATCAAGTTTGCTTGGGTGCGTCCATTCCGGTTCGGTCAATCACTTGATGGTTTGCACAACTTGACTGCGACCTTTCTACTGGCCAGGAATCACAGAAGAGAGCTCTTGAGGGCTTGACAGGATTGAAGTCAGAGTTGGAAGAGAAGAAGAACCATGTCCTGTCCCTCCAAGAGCAGATGCAACAGCAGACTCTCGCCCGTTCTGTTTGCACTGGAGTGAGTTTGTTTGTGATTGTGCACGGGATTGCGCGGGATTTTTTGTAAGGGCACACGTGCACAAACACAGCTAGCAGCTAGCATTTTCAAACACACACACACACACACAGGGAGGTATTGTATAACCTAACCTCCACCGACTTACTACCTGCTCCGGTTTCGATGCCAAAACGCAGTGCTCCTGACAACTGATCTTCAACCTTTCCTTCAGACAATGATTTGGTTCCTTTTTGATGGCCAAAGGTGTTGGCAGGATGACACGCCAAGTGATGTGTGACCCTTCCACAGGAAAGAGTTGCTGGATGCACATGAGGAAGGTGCGGCTGAAGTGCAGCTTAAGGAAACCTTGGCTTCCAAGGAAGCACTCGTTGCAGAGTTGGAGGACGCCGGTGCCACGAAAATCAGTACAGCAACGTTGCAGTTTCATGCTCAAATCTTAAGAAGGTCCTTGTTCAGGCATTTCTAGGCATTGTTTTGGGCAACTGCGAGGAGCGCAAAGCATCAGCAGCCGTGGCGGCGGAATCCCAAGCTGAGCTAGCAAGGAAAGTCGCAGAGTCCGCAAATGAAGTAGCGGCTCTGCGACAGGAACTTGCAACCGCCGAGGCAGGTCACTGCAATATGCAAGATGCTGCAAGATACAGAGCAGTTCTTGTCTACGAGTCTCAGTCACACCCGGACTTGTTGGAGGGTTCGAAGCAAATCTCCGTATCGTGTCTTAGCTTTGTGGCTGGAAAACATATTTTGCAGAGATTTCAGCAGAGTTCCAGACTCAGCACTTTGGAGGATGCCTTGAGCTCATGCCAAACATCCAAGAGAGAAGTAGAGGCCCCGAGGGCGCTGGGAAAGCTGCATGGGCTGCATGACTCATGGCTGTGAGACGTATTGAAGATCCCATGCATGTATTCGAAGTCCTTCGAAGAGAATCTTATGCAAGGCGTGCATTTGCATGGCTTTGCACGGCTTTGCATGGCTTTGCATGGCTTTGCATGGCTTTGCTGGGAGTGACTGGTCTTGTGGAAACTGTGGCCAGGAGGCGAAGTCTACTATTGAAGCCAGGCTCCAGGAAGCAGAGGCATCGCAGGCTTCTCTGACCGAAGAGTTGCAGGACTTGGCGCAGCTTCGCACATCTTGGCGCTTAGCACCTTCTGTGTTGACAATTTTGGTACCGTCCCTGGCCTGTCTTTGTTTGAGTCTTGCGGCATGTGGGGGGTCAGAACGGGAAAGCATAGGAAAACAACCCTTCAAACATATTGATATATATGATATATATATATATGTGAGATATATATATATATATTGATTACTAGTGAAACAGTCCCTCCACCATCCTCCACCTGACATCTTCCCTTTGCAAGTTCAAGAGCGACATGCCAAAACCATTCGTTCCTCGATTTTCTCCCCGTTTCCTCCCTTTGGCAAGGAGGCCAGGGCAACTGCGACAGCATCCGAAACTTCGAAAACCGAGCTCAGCCAAAAAGTCTCGGAAGCCAATGAGCGTGTGGCTGCTCTACAGATACAAGTGACTACTTCCGAGGCACAGCGCTGGGCAGCTGGATTGATCATGAGTGATCATGAGTGATCACACACTAGGGGACGCAAGTGGACATGGCTTTTGGATGCTTTTGGATTCTCACATTCTGACCCTGGTTGAGCAAAGTCTCATGGCAGGATTCTTTGAGCTCCTGTCAAAGCTCGAAAACAGCGCTTGAGGCTGACAAAGCCTTTGTTCTGTGTATGGAGTCGAGTTGCAAGCGACCTCTTGCAAATGTTGTGGCAACAGATTGCTGGACGGTTTGTATCAATACAAGACAATGCATGCATCTATTTGGATTACTTGTCATCCTGCGTGTTCCCTCCAGGGTCATCCGTTTGCAAGTGAGTCTGAAGGCAGGCCTCCAGAACCTCCGGGAGAGAGTGGTGACGTTGGTGCGGAGCTACCAGGCACGGTTTGCATCTTCAGGTGAGCCATGGAACATTGGCCGTCCTTGGACTTTGCCTTTTCCTCTTCTGCATCATGATCATCATGCCATCATGCCCAGTCTTTGCTCCTGTTTCTTCCGGTCTCTTCCAGCATTCCTTTTCTGGTTTGGGAACTGTTGGCATGATGTTGGCATGATGTTGGCATTATGTTGGCATGATGTTGACATGATGTTGGCAGCAGGGAATGTCCAACTTTCTGATTTGCCGAACCATTGTAGGTTGATGCAGAGGCGGAGCAAGGCGGGGTGGGGCCTGGTTTCCTTTTCTGCAAGTGGCTCGAGAGGGCGGTCCCCGCAAGCAGATTGGATTGGCATGGATAGGTACGGATTTGGTATGAATGGATGGGGCATTGAGCGGTGGGTCACATAGCCAGGTGAAGGCGTGCCGCGGCGCTCGATCTGTGGTGATGCTTCAATCTGCAAACGTCGTCGGAGAGACGTGGGGAGCTCGGATTGCCATCCCAAGACACTGCTCTGGTTCTGACTGTGACTTGAATGGTAGTGCAGGTGGTGCAGTTTACGAATCTGATTGTTCCAATGCGGATAGATTTGGATGAGTGGTCGGGTGTGCTCCGGGGTGTCACTGGATGTCACTGGATGTCAGATGTTGTTGGCTTGATCTGAGGGCGAGGGATTTGGAGGCTGGTGCTCTCGGCGGAAGGACGGTGCTGGGTGCTGGGATGGTCCAAGATGGTCGAAGTGTTCGGTGGTCTGGTTCCGCCTTTGTTTTTGAAGGCCTGACTGGACTGACTACACATTTTGCACAGACTTTTGTTCGAATATGTTGGAATGACATTTGGAAGAGACGAAACACACTTGCGCAGGTGTTGGTTCAGTTTGTGTGCTTGATTAATTGATTCCGATGGATAGATAGGGGTGAAGATAGGCCCTGATAGGCCCTGATAGGCCCTGATAGGCCCTGATAGGCCTTGATAGGCCCTGATAGGCCCTGATAGGCCCTGATAGGATGCTCCAGGAACGTGTTACACAATGTAAGATGGCACAAGATGTGTCTACTGATGGGCTGACTTGATGTCAAACCAAGCGCGAAGGAAGATGCAGTTGAAGTGGCTGAAGTTGCAGCACAGTTAGAGGCAAAGTTATGGGTAGAAATCACCCAAAGCCATGTTGCGCAATGTTTTGAGAGAACTAATGCTAGGCTGACAGCCAGCACTTGGCACTGCAAAGTGGTCATCTAGTCTAGCATCGATGACGTCAGTGCGATGCTTGACTTTGTGTAGGTGCTCGCAGAGACCTTGGAGCGGATGCAACGTGCGGAGGCTTGCCAATGCAAGATAGATCTTGTATTGACTAAAGGTTGGGGAGAGAAGATGGCTTGACACTGTACACGATATGGCAAGGTAGACCAGTGCACGAAGTTGTCGGAGAATCAGGGTAACATTGTGATCAAGTTATATATAGTTTGATGCGGATCAATTCGGCACTGGAAAACATATTTTGCAGAGATTTCAGCAGAGTTCCAGACTCAGCACTTTGGAGGATGCCTTGAGCTCATGCCAAACATCCAAGAGAGAAGTAGAGGCCCCGAGGGCGCTGGGAAAGCTGCATGGGCTGCATGACTCATGGCTGTGAGACGTATTGAAGATCCCATGCATGTATTCGAAGTCCTTCGAAGGGAATCTGATGCATGGCTTTGCATGGCTTTGCATGGCTTTGCATGGCTTTGCATGGCTTTGCATGGCTTTGCATGGCTTTGCATGGCTTTGCATGGCTTTGCTGGGAGTGACTGGTCTTGTGGAAACTGTGGCCAGGAGGCGAAGTCTACTATTGAAGCCAGGCTCCAGGAAGCAGAGGCATCGCAGGCTTCTCTGACCGAAGAGTTGCAGGACTTGGCGCAGCTTCGCACATCTTGGCGCTTAGCACCTTCTGTGTTGACAATTTTGGTACCGTCCCTGGCCTGTCTTTGTTTGAGTCTTGCGAACGGGAAAGCATAGGAAAACAACCCTTCAAAATATTGATATATATGATATATATATATATATATCTATATTGATTACTAGTGAAACAGTCCCTCCACCATACTCCACCTGACATCTTCCCTTTGCAAGTTCAAGAGCGACATGCCAAAACCATTCGTTCCTCGATTTTCTCCCCGTTTCCTCCCTTTGGCAAGGAGGCCAGGGCAACTGCGACAGCATCCGAAACTTCGAAAACCGAGCTCAGCCAAAAAGTCTCGGAAGCCAATGAGCGTGTGGCTGCTCTACAGATACAAGTGACTACTTCCGAGGCACAGCGCTGGGCAGCTGGATTGATCATGAGTGATCATGAGTGATCACACACTAGGGGACGCAAGTGGACATGGCTTTTGGATGCTTTTGGATTCTCACATTCTGACCCTGGTTGCGCAAAGTCTCATGGCAGGATTCTTTGAGCTCCTGTCAAAGCTCGAAAACAGCGCTTGAGGCTGACAAAGCCTTTGTTCTGTGTATGGAGTCGAGTTGCAAGCGACCTCTTGCAAATGTTGTGGCAACAGATTGCTGGACGGTTTGTATCAATACAAGACAATGCATGCATCTATTTGGATTACTTGTCATCCTGCGTGTTCCCTCCAGGGTCATCCGTTTGCAAGTGAGTCTGAAGGCAGGCCTCCAGAACCTCCGGGAGAGAGTGGTGACGTTGGTGCGGAGCTACCAGGCACGGTTTGCATCTTCAGGTGAGCCATGGAACATTGGCCGTCCTTGCACTTTGCCTTTTCCTCTTCTGCATCATGATCATCATGCCATCATGCCCAGTCTTTGCTCCTGTTTCTTCCGGTCTCTTCCAGCATTCCTTTTCTGGTTTGGGAACTGTTGGCATGATGTTGGCATGATGTTGGCATGATGTTGGCATGATGTTGACATGATGTTGGCAGCAGGGAATGTCCAACTTTCTGATTTGCCGAACCATTGTAGGTTGATGCAGAGGCGGAGCAAGGCGGGGTGGGGCCTGGTTTCCTTTTCTGCAAGTGGCTCGAGAGGGCGGTCCCCGCAAGCAGATTGGACTGGCATGGATAGGTACGGATTTGGTATGAATGGATGGGGCATTGAGCGGTGGGTCACATAGCCAGGTGAAGGCGTGCCGCGGCGCTCGATCTGTGGTGATGCTTCAATCTGCAAACGTCGTCGGAGAGACGTGGGGAGCTCGGATTGCCATCCCAAGACACTGCTCTGGTTCTGACTGTGACTTGAATGGTAGTGCAGGTGGTGCAGTTTACGAATCTGATTGTTCCAATGCGGATAGATTTGGATGAGTGGTCGGGTGTGCTCCGGGGTGTCACTGGATGTCACTGGATGTCAGATGTTGTTGGCTTGATCTGAGGGCGAGGGATTTGGAGGCTGGTGCTCTCGGCGGAAGGACGGTGCTGGGTGCTGGGATGGTCCAAGATGGTCGAAGTGTTCGGTGGTCTGGTTCCGCCTTTGTTTTTGAAGGCCTGACTGGCCTGACTGGCCTGACTACACATTTTGCACGGACTCTTGTTCGAATATGTTGGAATGACATTTGGAAGAGACGAAACACACTTTCGCAGGTGTTGGTTCATGGCTCCCAGTTTGTGTGCTTGATTAATTGATTCCGATGGATAGATAGGGGTGAAGATAGGCCCTGATAGGCCCTGATAGGCCCTGATAGGCCCTGATAGGCCCTGATAGGCCCTGATAGGCCTTGATAGGCCCTGATAGGCCCTGATAGGCCCTGATAGGATGCTCCAGGAACGTGTTACACAATGTAAGATGGCACAAGATGTGTCTACTGATGGGCTGACTTGATGTCAAACCAAGCGCGAAGGAAGATGCAGTTGAAGTGGCTGAAGTTGCAGCACAGTTAGAGGCCAAGTTATGGGTAGAAATCACCCAAAGCCATGTTGCGCAATGTTTTGAGAGAACTAATGCTAGGCTGACAGCCAGCACTTGGCACTGCAAAGTGGTCATCTAGTCTAGCATCGATGACGTCAGTGCGATGCTTGACTTTGCGTAGGTGCTCGCAGAGACCTTGGAGCGGATGCATGCCAAGGCTCACCCATAGAATATGACTCATAAGACGTCATATGATGTCAATGTCATTCACATTCATTCACTAAAATAGGTTAATAATGGTTAATAGACTCATTGATAGATGTCATAGGTGTCATAGGTTGGGAAGAGAAGGCAACAGCACTGCGAAGCGCAAATTTCTCGTCGGTTTGAGGCCATGGCTCTCAGGGCTTCCGAGATAGCGCCGCAACTTGAGGCGAGGGAAGGAAGGGCCGGGAAGGGGCTGACTTTTCGACTGTGGGGCTGTTGGCAGGGGAAAAAAACCCTGCTCTTACGCTTTTCATCTTGTCGTTTTTTTTTTGTTAATTAAATTTATTCGTCTCCGTGTCTTTGATCCGTAATCTTTTCTTTTTTACTTATTCTTACAATCGTGTCTAGTAATGAAATGTAGTTTAATCCTCTTCACTTTGACTCTTGAGCAAGCTGCCTTTCTTTATTTCCTAATGGGGTGCATTTCCTTAGTGTTTTTATTTTTATTTTTCCTTTTCACCTCTTTGTGATGGCAGAATTGGATTCGCAGCCATCCATAATGATTCCAATTGCGATTGTGACGATGTGCATATGATGAGTTTTTAGCGGGTTCTTCACCTCAAGTTCCCAAACAAAAAACGTTCTCATGCAATCTCATGAGCAGACACTCACGCATACACACATGCATGGGAAACATTTACCTTCTCCATTTGCACTCTTTTCCAACACAACCAGGGCTCACATCAGGACACCCATGCGTTGGCATTCTTTGCTCATCTGCATTTTTTCTGCTAAGATCTACGGAAGTGATGCAGCTTTTATTTTGCATCTGCAAAGTTAATGTCACAGTCGGAGGACGACCCACCTTCCCACTCCTAATGGCAGTGAAACCTTTAGCAGCATTGAAAAGGCCAGCGGTCTTTTTGGGGAAAAATGTGTACCCCAGCGCACACACCCGCACACATACACGCATGAGTATATAGATACATCACACATAACATTCACACTGTAACAGCATTTTTACAGTACTGTACTATATCTCCAAAGCCAGAAGGTTCATCACTGAGGGGGAGCATTCTACTAGGATTTGGGGCCAACATTGTCATGTGCCACCGCTGCCGATTCTATCCAATTCTCGCCTATTCGAAGGTGGCTTCCGCAGCCTCGGCTGAAGTTCCTGAGCGTCCGCAGGCGGAGGGTTCTGTAGATCTTGTTGTAGCGTCTTGGGGTGATGCAATGCTGTCCAAATGCCTCACACTAGAAAAGAACATGATTTTAAGTCAGCGGTTATGCAGTGAGTGTGTGTACACATATTATTTATTACTAAACTATATTATATACATATTGCCATATTGCTGATTTATTTTGGCCATGGACCAGCCTCGCAATCGTCTTGTCACTGCTGCAAAGCCCTCGAAGCCTCAAAGATGGACGCTAGGTGACACCATTCAGTCCGCAGACAGATGCCGAAGATGGTGCAGAAGGCGATGAGCGATGAGTGCCCAGTTCTGGAAGTCAAGGACGCCGCTGAACTTTTGAACAGCTGTAATTCAACAAGAAAAAGCTCCCTTCTCTTAGAATTCTTAGATGTTAGTCCTACCGGGTTCCGGTACGGTCCTTGAAATCTCGCCACAATGTGAAAAGGTGGGTGCGCGATGGAGAAGCGGGTGCTTCCTGTTGGTTCCATACAAGAACGTCCACAGATCAAGAACAGCCCTTAACCAGTCAAATTAAAAAGTGTGTAAGCCAAGCCAGCCAAGCTCACAAATACATATAAATACAAAGACATTCCTCCCTGGCAATGGCATAAGAATCCTCCGACACTATGAACAACTCGGAGGTGGCTCTGACATGCTCTGACCAAAGAAATTGGTTGTATTTGGTTGTTGTGGAAATGGGCTCACGAGTTCACTTGGAACGGTGAGTCTGCAGTGTCGCTTTTGTCACCTGTGCTTGGGTGGGAGCAGACATCTAAATATTACAATCACGACTGGAAGGCGCTCTCCCGCATGGTCAATATGAGCAAAGCAGGAATATGATGAATGCTACAGCTTTTGCAGTCACTCTATAAACATTCAAGCTATCAGATAAAGTCAAAGTCCAATGTGGCCATCATCGGCCCATGTCGCGCGTGTGGCTGCTGGGCTGGTGCCTGCTCGCCAGTGCAGAGAGCAACATTGAGGCTTCGGTGATTTTGTTTGGTGACCAAAGTGGCGAATTCGGGGACATTTTGGACCCCTATTGCCCTATACGTGGGTCACATGGGTCACATGGGTCACATGGGTCACATGGGTCACATGGGTCACATGGGTCACATGGGTCACATGGGTCACAGTGAGTGCTTTGCTTTTGTTCTCGTCACTTCAGGCTCCCAGCGACTTGGATTGTGGAGTAGTTGGCCTGCAAAATGGAACGCTCGGTTGCCACCAGGAGGCGGGACTGGTCAGATTGGTCAGCAGTCCGGTTTTATGATAAATAATATATGGTGACAGGGTCCATTCGCGCTCTCATGTTTGAGAAAACAGAAGGCCACAGCATTTCAGCTTTGTCGGGTTGTCGCAAGTTGAATCTCCAACCATGTCCAGAATGTCAGGCTACAACAGACTGTCCTGGAATACCTTTGTTGCGGGGCGTATGCCCGAGCGAATGCCCCTTTGTGGTGCCACATTCTTATCTCAGCTTCTTGACTGTGCACGGTGGTGGCTTCAAGAGCTGGGCTGCAGGATATGTGTTTGACATTCGCCACGTGACAGACCCCTGAACTCAAGTACTTCTGTACGCAGTGCTACGAAGCGGAAGGCTGAAGACATCTGAAGACCTAAATGAATGGCTGAGCAATCCGAAAGGCTATGAACTGAGCAGCATGGGAACATGAGTTGCGGTTGCCAACATTGCCACTCCAGGTTGCGTATTTCAGTGCGCCACCGCTTCCACATGTTCGATAGCCAATCCTAATTTGGCCTTCCCGTGCCCAGGATGCATCTCTGAATCCTTTAAGTTTGGGTGCCCAACTTACACTGCCTTCACCTTCTCACCAAAACTGGGGCACGAGTCACGAATGACATGTGTTCTACTCGTATATAATGCGTTCTCTGTAAGTTCTCTATCTTACTTTGTGCTTCGTATGTCTTTGTTTCGTGTATGAAAAGGTGAAACGATGAACAGGATGAACAGGATGAACTGCAATTTGCCACAAATCCCGCAGCATTCACAAGGAACAATGCCACGCAACTCTGCGAGCCGTGCCAAGTGGTCGGATGCAAAAGGTGCGCCTCAAAGGAGCACCACTCATAAGCTTTATGTCACTTATGTCTCATGATGTCTCATGACTTGTGTGACAATTGTGTGACAAAACTTATCAAGACTTGATGTCAGGAGTTTGTATGATTTGTATCAGTTTGGTAGGTGTGGTGCTAATCTTCAACTTGGATGATCTCTGATATAGCATGGTTTTGTGTAGAATAGGTCAAGAGATAAAACTGATGTGTTCAAATGAAGCTGCTGTCGTTGCCATCGTCATTATCATCCTCATCCTCATCCTTCATAGTGCCAGATTTCCGATTCCTAACATTAACTGTGAGGCATATAAATGACCAATGCGAAAGCTGACCAAACACAGTGGTGCAGGACACTTGTGCAGAGTGCTTTGACAACTTTTGGCCTGAATTTGGAGGACGCGTTTGCGCAACTTGGTTTGCCAAAAAGCTTGGGCTGAAAAGACTGGGAAAGGAAACTGTAAACTGTAAACGATGTTTCTTAACGGCGGTCTGGCAGTCTAGCAACATAGACTAGGCATGAGGGAAGGACGCATTGGTACACGTTTGCGGCACATTCTGTAGGTGCCACTTTGGTACACTCTGCACTGTGCCACTTTTGGGCACTAGATATCCTATCGAAATAATTCCAAATATTTTAATATATCTTGATCTGAGTAACTCAGCCCGACTCCGCCTGACTCAGCCTGTCATGCAGGATTTGGATTTGCTTCTCGTTGTGGGAACGGATCAAGTTGCTTCTGAGGTGTACGTATGGGATGACCGGGCCCAACATGGGATGAATGCTGCTTTCGCCTTCAGTTTGCTGCTGATTCTCATCCTCCTGGCAGGACGTCAGTTTGTTTCATGTTTCTACGAAGCGTCACCCAGCGTCACCCAGCGTCACCTGAACTTTTGGATACATATTTGTGCTGTATTTATGGAGATTAGATGCTCAGATGAGATTATATGACATATATAATTATAATATAGATTAGTGGTTAGGAAGCACTGGTTCAGCCAGGCACCATGCCTTTTCTACGCGAGGCGTGTACCTCATCGACCGATGCAACTGTTGGGGACGCTGCCTGCCCCAAGAGATCGAGAGCTCACCTGATGCGCTGGACGATGAAGAACCTGGACAGCAACACCACGCCAGGTCACACATCGTAACACAACACGACGCACACAAAATACAACACATTCACATTCTGCCAATTTATGTCACGCGTGGTGGGACCAGCTGATCTGAGAGTGTTCGGGCGATATGATTATATAATATTATATAGGTTATGTAAGTTTGGGCCTGGTGGAAGACCCCAGGAGGGCCAAACACAAACCAAAATGGTGAACATGTGACAAGACTGACAGGGCCCATGATTGACACGCCCATGCAAACACTTGGCATCCCCTTCACTGCTTTTGCAGCTTCCATCATGGCAAAAACATGACATGGGCCCAGGAAGATGCGCTGGTGCGAGCTCAGAAAGAAAGCAGTTTGCCGAACGAGCTTGGAGGCCATTTGCCAAAGGATGCAACAGAAGAGCAAGTGATGCAAGTGATGCAAGTTGCTCATCACCTTCATCTCCCTCATGTCCACCGATCAAGACACCAATTCACTAAGAACCTGCATCGCTCTGCCACAGCATCCATCATGACCTGCTTCTTTGTCAACAGCTCCAAAAAGTCGAACATTGTGACTGTACCCTTGGGTGCTCCCATGATTCCGATGCTGCGAAGGACAAGGGGAATTGTTGACGTGTGACATCACTCCCTTGAGCATCAACCAGGGGAAGCTGCATCGTTTGCGCTGCAAGGCATTTGCAGGGGCCGACCCTTGTAGGGCTACCAAAGGACCCAAAGGTTCAAGGGTAGAAAATGACACAAACATTGAAGGAGCTCGCATCAAGTCTACAGGACTGAGCCTGCAGGATTCCAGCTAAGGGAAAGAGATGTGTTAGTGTCAGTTTGTCTGGACCAGTGTGGCCAATCTAGGTCTTAGCGTTACCAAGCCCTCCTTCCTGTCGTAGCCAAATCCCACAGGTCAAGAATCCTGAGCCTCAATCAAAGCATAGGGAAGGCCTGGGGACAGAAAACGAAACGACTCTGGGATAGCTCGCTAAACAGAGGAAGTGGCTGACATGACCAGCATGACATTGGATGGATGCCAGATGCGTATTGTTCAGCCAAGCGCAGCATTGGCAAAGGCTTTGACAAAGAACCCAGAATGATAAAGATGAGAGTGGACTGAGAATGGATTGTACCAGCTTGGATGCCAACACTGATGTCAGTAAAAAGCGACAACATACACACGGCAAGTAGTTCGGATGTGAAACTTCATGTCGAGCTTCAAAGTGCAGTTTTTTGCGCATGGCTGTGTCAGGCATGCAGCACTCTCAAAGTCTTTTGGGTCATATGGAGCGGCAACTTCCTGCTGAGGCAGCATGCCCCAGGGCAAATATCTTTCTGTAGCAGACTTTGTTTGTTGATTCCCCCTGCCTGATTCCTTTGGTTCATACCCCACTGCTGCGTCAGAACCGGGCCTCGACCTTGCTGGGCCGCTTTAAGAACGTGCCCTTCAGTGCCACCCGACCCGGAAGGATCAGAGGCACTGCTTGGATGCTTTGGGCTCATCAAGTTGTCTCAGGGATTGAATAGACATGATTCAGAAATCATACATATAAGATCATATACTGTAAGGCACAAATCACTAATCCTCTTGCTGTCCTACATCTGGTAGATTCATGCACCTTTGCCCAATTTCGCAGAGCCCAACCCCCGTCTGCGGACATCCGCTTGCTCTGCTTCCACAAAGGTCAACTTGCACAAGAAGTTTCTCGTCGGTGTTGGCTTGCCCCTCTTCCACCAGAGCCTCGGCAAAAATGGAAGACCGCTGGTTTTGCGGGGGGGGGTCTTGGCCCAGATCTGTCAGCTTGTTGAACAGCAAGCAAGCATGTGAAAGCGAACAAGACCACGGTTTAAAGATGTTTAAACTAAGAGAGTTCTGCAATAAAAGGCAAGCTGACGTGCATGCCTCGCATACTTATATACAAGCCTTATGCAATTCAAGTCAGGCACGTGTAGTGTCTCAGTATTTTGTCGCTCGGATCTTTTGTTGCCACTGGCCCAGGTGGCATTTGTTTCTCTTCTTGTACAGCTTGGTGATGTGTGCAGGGAAGCTTGTTTGCATCCTGATTGGCTGAACAGCTGATTTACTTGACGAGTTGGGAACAATCTGGGAGTGCCCCTTTTGTCTTCCTACCACTGCTTCTGCAGTTCTGCAGTTGTGAGTGAGTATTTTATCAGCACTATGCATTCCATGCTTTGAAGGTCTTTGGAGAAAAAAACAGCAGCCTGCATCAAGCGTTGTTTCGAGTGGAGTGCGTTTGCGCAGCATGCCTCCTTGCCTCAGTTGAGGACGGCGTGGATCTACTTTGGATCAGATCTCAGCGGCCAGCTGAGCCGTACAGGGTTGGATCACGCCTCTCATTTGCTGATGGAAGAGTTCGAAGTCGGCAAAAGTGACGCTTGGTGTCAATCTTGGGCAGCGCTGATGTTTTAATTTTGGACTTGGACTTGGGTTCGTTTTGCAACAAGAGGGCGTTTATGGTTGATGCTGGAAGTATCAGCTCGGAGTTATTTTGATATTTTTGGTTATGAGGTGGGGTTGGCAGATGAGAGATAGAAAGTACATGAAAGTACGTATCTCATGCTTTAAGGGCGCGTACACACGCACACAAAGAAACCCGGACCGACCTACAAACGCGCATATCCGCGCACACACACATGCACACATGTGCATATATATTATTTTAAGAAATAAATTTAAACAACATAATACACACGCACACATGTATATATATATATATGCAGGCATGAATACATCTAGATATTCAGAGTGGCATACAGTTGCGCTGGTCCAGAGGCCATGACCCTTTGCGGACTGAACTCGCAAGAAAACCACCTGGGACTCGCCGCGCAGGACTTCCTGAGACAGAACTAGTTTGCAGTTTTTGCAGTTTGCTTGTTTCATTTTGTTTTTCATGTTTTTCAAACAGATCTTACTGGTATAACTACCAAAGAACCATCATGTCTGGTTTGTATCTCCGGTTCTTGCGGGTGAAATCATATTTATGAAAAACAATCACTTATTCTTGTTTGATCTCATCAGTTTCAATATGGATACGACCTGTTGATTCAAGTTGACAATCACCAATACTCCATTTTATCTGCTGAACCGATTTTTGGAGCTTCATGTTAGGTTTCATGGAATGGGATAGCGGATAGCTCAATACCAATGAAATCATCATGGTCTAATTATGGTCTATATGTAGCAGTAGCTTTCCATCCACGGGATCCAATCTGAGCACTGAGTCTTTCTGAATCTTCTCCGGTCCCTACTTTTTTTTTTCCCGTTTGCCGCCTTTGAGTGCCGTGGTCCAGGACTTTGGTCGCCGGGCCACGTTAGGATACTCTCTTCTATGGCTGGTAGGTGCCTGCTCCCAGTTGTGTGATTCTGAGATGAGGCTTGAAAGGACTTGGGCGGATGTTCAGATTTGCTGTGGTGTGAATTGATTCCATGGGTGCTTCACTCTGTGGCTGTCCTTTCATGGTATCTTTTCTGTTTGAGTTTGAGGAAAGCTTGTTCTCCCATCCTGCCATCTTATTTGGCATCATGGATTCTGCGGCGATTTCACTGGGTTTTCAAGGGTGCGGGGTTTTGACACAGTGATTGGAATGGTTTTTTCTTCTGGCAGAGGTATGGTATTGTCTCTATGGCATGCCTTGCGGCAGAAGAGGGCAGCTCACAATTTTCACCAAAGGCGGGAAATACATTGCCAATATATGCCAATATTGCCAAGATTTGCCAAGTACCTTTCCCTCCCACTAGAGTGCACTGTGGCAAAAAGAAAACTACAGATGCTTGGTTTTTGATATTTTTTGATTGTTCTTGAGGCACCCTTCGTTGGCGGAGTTTGCGCTAAGCTTGGAGGGCTTCCCTGCCAGTGCCACAGACGAGGATGAGATCCTAAAGTTCGTCCGGCAGAGCTTCGGTACCTTGCAGTACGGAGGGGGGAAAACAAAAACTTCTTGGATCTTGTGGGTCGGGGACTATAGTCTAGCCCAATGATGCTCCATGTGGGAAAATTTACCCAGCAAAGTAAATGTGGATTTGATAGGTTCCCAGGCCTGTCAAGCACGTGAATGACTAGGAAGTCCTGTAGCGATTCAACTCGGAGAGTGCACCAGATTTGTCCATTCTCACGGCTCGGTAGCAGTGTGTTCTGTGAGGCATCCAGGATTTGCAGATCTCTGTTTGCTACGACTACCGCGACAGGCGAGCTCGCGTCAGTGAGCTTTGGGAGAAGATTTTGGTTCGTGAGGACGTCGCTGCAGGCAGGGCAATTCGCAATCTCTGATACTCGAAGCACAATCTTTCAAACCTCCTTTGCAAGAAATTGAGAATAGAGTTAGAGTCTAACAGTTAGAGTCTTTTGAGATTCAAGACTCAAAATGCTTCAGCATTGATCCGCGTTTCACCTCCCATTGGTTCTCAAAAGCCAGTAGGTGCATACCATCCGAGTTTGGCCGCTGGTCCTTATGGCAACCTTCGGAGCTTGGGCCTTTCTGACGATGAAAAGCAGGAAGTGCGGCCACTGGACTCAAGGGAGCGTCAAAATGCAGACAGAAGGCTTTGCCGGTTGGTTGCCCAGTAATTAAAACATTGTTTTTGCGTTTGTTTTTAGTGTGCAATTTTGTGTTTTTTTTCCTCCATTTTTTTCCCAAGTACTTGTTCTATCTTGTCATGCGTGTCACACTTGTCATACCAGGTGGGTTTGTTCGTTGTTAGTGCACCTGAGGCAATGGTTGGATACGAGCCGGCCAGGTGCTCTGAGGAACGCCGGCTCAGTCTTTGTTTGAAGCTCAACCCGCACTGTCAGGGAACTCCTTGAACAGAGCCTGAAAGATATCTTCAGAAACTCTCGAACGGAGCCTGTTTGAGTCAGAGTGAGTCAGTGAAAAAGTCAATGACAGGCAATGCTCTTCACTACTCCACAGTGTCTTGATGCGGCATTGTCTCTTGCAGCGCTCGACTCCAGGTGATCTTCTCTCACACCTACGAGCTACACTCTGCAGAGCAGCTTCCAGAGAGGTTTGCCCTACACCGCCTGCCGCGAGGGAAGGCTGGGGGCAGGGTTCTGGCTCAGGGAGGTGCTCCTGAGATCCTGACAGTTCTATTTTGAGTATCTCTGGGCCTTAGGCCTTCATCGGACCTTGTATCAGGCTCCAGTCATGATCCCATGCCATTTGATTTGCCCGCAGACACCTCTTTTGCCCCACTCCTTGACGCCGGAGTTCCTGCCCTCTCTTCCGCTGGAATGGGTAGCTTGGCATTGTCAATTTGAGTGGGCCCAATCGATTGGATCCTAGAACCTGTGCTATTCAGTTGTGCCAAGGTGGATGAAGGCGGAAGAAGGCATCACCTCACTGTGAGGGATGTTGCTTGTGAACCGCCCGAGGCGGAGCTGTGGACGGACCAGCGGTACTGGTAGCAGGTCTGTTGCAGCTGTCTGTTACCAGATGTTACCAGGATCCACAACGATCATGAAAGATGCAACTTGAGGTACAACAATAAACCCAAGTACATCCAAGTACAACAACAATAAACCCAAGTACAACTTGAGGTGGCACAGGGTATCCCTTGCGACAGTGCCGTGAAATATCTTGAAATCGTGCTCTGTAAGGTGGCTTGGGAGCACCTGGGGTTGGATGTGGCTAGCATCAGTGCTCGTGCGGCTCTGGCTGGTCTGGCTGTGGTGGTGAGTTTCGCGGCCTTTGCAAAGCTTGGGTTTGGAGACTGCACGTGATGGGACCTGACGGAGAATGACGCATTTGCACTGTATTTGCACAGTATTTGGATGTATTTGGCGTGTTAGATTGGGATAGGCGAGCAGCATCTATCTTATGGTCTTATCATGTCTTATCTTGTCTTGCCTTATCTTATATAATCCTACCCTATGTAACCTCACCAATCATACTTTATTCGGAACCAAGCGCGCACACACAAATTTTGCACACACACACATATATAATTATATATATAGACGTACATACGCTTGAAGTCAGACACAGACACAGGATGCACAGAGAGGGAGGCATGACTTTGACATGCAAAAGGGAATGCTTAGGGTAGTCAGTGGTCTGCTCGGTGCAGAGATGGGAAAGAATTGGGAGAAGAGCTGGGATCAGAAAAGATTAGGTTTTTGCGTCATCGCTGCGGTGGTCTTCTTGCCCCTAGCCACCTACAGTATCAGCTACGTGTCCCAGGCGAGATTCGGGGGGCTTCCAAATCTTCCAAGCAGTGCCTTAGGCCTGCTGATCCTTTGGACCGATTTCATCCGATTTCCTTTCCAGGCGGGCAGCTTGCCCACTGGTGTGATGATGTGCCTAGGCGAAGTTCACGGCGTCCCATGGGACGATCGAAAGCTAATCGAAGGGTCTTAAGCATCTTAAGCCGCACTGCATGGCGTCCACCGTCCAACACATATACATGCACGGATGCGCAGTATACAGATACCCTCAGAATGTATACAGTATATGTATATGATATATAGTTATATGTATTGATATATAGATATATCTAGTTATATATATATATATTATTATAGTATATATATATGTATATTTATATAGTTATTTAAATGCAGTTATCGAAGGAAGTTCAGAGGTCAAACTCCCGACAATATGGACAGATGGAAAAGCACAGGTGGGAAGAGTCAGAGAAGAGAAGAGAAGAAGAAAGAAGATCAAAAAAGAGAAAGCCTCAGAAGAAAGAAGATCCAGGTGTCGGAAACTGTGTTTTTTCCAATGATTTGTGGCTCCGGAGGGTCGAAAAGTAGGCTCGCTAAAGCGGCAGGTGCAGAGCCATGTGGTCAGATGAAAGATGAAAAGTTGCACGCCATTGTGGCGCGAAGCACATTTCTAAGTCAAAATGTACAAAGCACACCATGTCCGGACCACTTTTGGAAGTTGAGATGTCGAAAAAGTGCACGGCGTTGTGGCGCGAAGCACATTTCCAAGTCAAAATATACAATACACACCAGGTTCGGAGCACTTTTAGAGGTTGCGATGTCGAAAAAGTGGACGCCGTTGTGGCGCGAAGCACATTTCCAAGTCAAAATGTACAAAGCACACCATGCTCGGACCATTTTTGGAAGTTGAGACGTCGAAAAAATGCACGTGCAGAGGATCTGCAAAGATGCATTATCAGAGCTGTTAGGAGGTCAGAGCGCTGATTTCCTGAGAGGGGATGCATTTTGGAGCATCAGATCTTCAGTTTTGGGAAGATGATTTTGCGTGACAGGTGCAGCACTTCGTATGACCTGGCCTCACTTTTTCGTGGCAGGCGCAGTACTTTAGACAGGTGGAGTGGAAAAATCGGAAAACCCATTGGTACGAGGCCGTCAGCTCTCCACTCAACTTTCCATTTTGAAGGAAGTCTCGCAGAATTCTTTCGTTTTTGATGTTGTCAACTTCGAAAATTGAGGAAGTCTCGCAGAATTGTTTCGTTTTTGACGTTGTCAAGTTCAAGAATTAAGGAATTCTCGCAGAATTGTGGCGTTTTTGATGTTGCCAAGTTCAAAAATTGAGGAAGTCTCGCAGAATAGCTTCGTTTTCAAGCTTGCAGATAGACAGATAGATAGATAGGCAACTACAACCTCAACTACAAGTACCACTACACGACACTACTACTACCACTACAATGTACAAATATACTACGCTACCTACTTAACACTCACTACACTAGACTGCACTAATTACATCTAATTACGCTACACTACACGAATTACACGTATTACATTACAACTACTACAACAGCAACTGCTACTACTACTACTACTGCTACTGCTACTGCTACTGCTACTGCTACTGCTACTGCTACTGCTACTACTACTGCTACTGCTACTGCTACTACTACTGCTACTACTACTATTACTACCACTACTATTATTACTACTACTACCACCACTACCACTACCACTACTACTACTACTACTGTAGTACTAGTACTACTAGTACTACTAGTACTACTAGTACTACCAGTACTACTAGTACTACTAGTACTACTAGTACTACTAGTACTACTAGTACTACTAGTACTACTACTAGTACTACTACTAGTACTACTACTAGTACTACTACTAGTACTACTACTAGTACTACTACGAGCACTACTACTAGCACTACTACTAGCACTACTACTAGTACTACTACTAGTACTACTACTAGTACTGCTACTAGTACTACTACTAGTACTACTACTAGTACTACTACTAGTACTACTACTAGTACTACTACTAGTGCTACTACTAGTACTACTACTAGTACTACTACTAGTACTACTACTAGTACTACTACTAGTACTACTACTAGTACTACTACTAGTACTACTACTAGTACTACTACTATACTACTACTAGTACTACTACTAGTACTACTACTAGTACTATTACTAGTACTACTACTAGTACTACTGCTAGTACTACTACTAGTACTACTACTAGTACTACTACTAGTACTACTACTAGTACTACTACTAGTACTACTACTAGTACTACTACTAGTACTACTACTACTGCTACTACTACTACTATTGCTACTCCTCCCGCCACCACAGCTACAACTACAATCACAGTTACGCTGCGTCACACTACAATGCACTAATTAAACTGCAGCACATTACAGCTACAAATGCAGCTGCAACTACAACCACATTACACTACACAACACTACGCTACACTAGTTACACTACATTACGCTACAACTGCAGCTACCACTACATTGCACTACACGACACTAAACAACTACAACTACAACACTTTACACTACAATACGCTAGACTACACTACACTAAGCCACTCTACAGTACACAACACTACAGTACACTACAAAACGCTACACTAATTGCACCACATCACAACTACAACTGCAACTGCACTACGCTAATTACACCACATTACAACTACAGCTTACAACTACAACTCCGCTACACTACAACTACAACTACACCTACAACTACGACTACAACTGCATTACACCACACTACATACATCCAGCAGTTGTGGTGAGGTGACCACTGCAACCATTGCAGCCACTTTAGAAAACACAACTCCAACCACCTTTCGGTCCATCAGTGGGTTCGCTCTGCCATCCGTGGGTCACAACAACCAACCCTTCCTATAGCTTTCCTATTTTTGAAACTCCCGCCACCGCCTTTTGCGGTACTACTGGTTTGTAGTTGTATATATATTTATATTTTTATTTTTTAAAGTTATATAGGTAACAGTTTTATGTAGTTGTATGTATGTATATATATATATACATATTGTAGGGGAGAGGCTTGACGACGTAAAGGGAAGAACTTGAAAAACATTAAAAACCTTCAGACGGCAGACGGAGGACAACATATCCCAGGTATGTTGTCCGCATGTTGAACTGATTCCATGTGTTATCAAGGTCTGAAAAGAACACAAAACACCGTAAAACACAGTGAAAAATGACATTTTTCAAAATTGCCAACAATGACCTTGAGTTGCGTTCCGGGGAAACCCGAGCCTCTTCCATGTAGGGATACCGGATGATACCGGGTTCAAAAAAAATAACCATACCATGAAATACCACACCACAGACGTGGGGTCCCCTCCGTTCCTCAGATCAATGTTGTTGTCTGCATTTTGTGTTTGGCGGCATTCAAAAAACAACAATTTCTGTTGATGATGCCCGGCACTTCCGATCACAACATTGAAGTTGGGGGTTGCGGGGGTAAGTAAGGTACCTATGTGTACCTATGTGGTTTCATGTGGATGTTTTTTTTGAAGAGCCAGCACGCAGTCATATATCGCCACATATATATATATCTATATTCATATACAGTTATATTTACAATTGTACATATGTATTTCTAGTGTATATATATATATATGCATTATATGCACATGACATGTATATTTATGTGTGCTCGCTTAACATGGCATGATTCGCTATGCCAACTGAATGGCCCGAATCTTCCAGAAACATGCAGCCACTAGGATGTTTGTTCATCTGGGTTTTACTTTTGCTATACAGGTTGGTGCTGTATTTGTCTTCCAAAGCACTCTACCCTGCATTTTTCCTCTAGGAACATCAGCATAGGCTGCAGGCTACGGCAGCTTGAAATTAGCAGTTTTTTTTACTGCTTCTTACTTTGAGGTCGGTGATGGGAATTCTGGTGATGACAGCGGCCCAGCTGCATTTGTGGCAACGTAGTAGATAGGGTGGCGTGTTTAAGTAGCTGAAACCTGAACCTCTCTCCAAAGATATCCCCGAGGGTATCATGTGTTGTGAAGGCAGGTTGTGATGGCCAACCAGAACCCTGAACTGTGGCATTCTTGGCTCAAGGGGCTCATTACTTTTCATTTTTTTCGGGGCATTGCCCCCTGTGATCGCAAAGCCATGCCGCGGCGTTTGAGAGGCTCCTTCCCGGCGCTGATAGCCATGGCAGCCGTGGCGGCCATGGCGGCCAAATGGTCCACTGGCTTTGCCGGCGGAGCACCGGGCAATCGCCGTGTCGATGTGCAACAAGCTGCAGAAGAGGAGAAGTTGAACAATGTTGAACCAAAAATTACTGTAAGCACACGGTATACTGTATCAGTAAAACATATATGGCACAAATACCCAAACTATATCAGTATATCGCCCGTATCAGTGTATCAATGTGTATCAGTGTTTCTATCATAGAACCCAATCTTCGCCATTTTGATTATCCGATTATCCTTTCTTTGTCGAATGACACGGAGGTGTCGCATAGCCAAATGCTGCATTGTTTTGGGCTGTTTTGGGTGATAGATTGGCTTATCCATGTCTTGTATAGTCAAAAAATGGTTCGCCGGAGTACTCTTACTGTTCTGGTGAGAGGTTGATGTCGACGTCATTCAGCAAGAGAGAGAGAGAGAGATAGAGGTGTGTGTTGCAGACACAGACGCACACAGACACAAACTAGAAACACGCATGATTCATGATCATATAAGTGCAATAAGGAGACCAGGTATGTCGATTTTGCATGTAGTATAGCTATGTATAACTATCCACATTTGTGCACGCAGGACAGGGCTTGCATCGACATGAATTCCTTTGTTCTCCCTAACTTCATTTGATTTCTTTTTTCGGCACATTTTCGGCTCATTTTGATTTGAAGGAGTCCAACTCCAACGGTGGGCGTCGCCTGTTGGTGTTGGGCGGAAACGGCTTTGTGGGCAGAGAGGTTTGCCGCCTGGCGGTGCAGCGAGGATTCCAAGTCACCTCTCTGAGTCGACGTGGGGAGAACCCCGAGCCTGGCAATCAGGAGCTGGACCAGGTTCCTTGGAAAAAGCGGAGATATCTGAGACAAGTGCAGAACCAGTTTCTTCAAAACATGTGCAGAATTGGGCACATCTTTATACATCTTTGATAAGGATTATTTGATGCGATTTTGAGGTGTTTAATTATGTGATTCTTTGAGGTTGAGCATGTCAACAGTTCGACCCAGGTGAATTGGGTGAAGGGCAATGCTGTGGATGCCGGTGTGGTGTCTGAATTGGTGGGCGAGGCAGACGCAGTGGTTCATGCCATTGGTCTCCTGTTCGATGCCAACAGTGGCCTCACCAACCTAAACCTCATCGTGAGTGGCTCAGGCTCCACACCTGATGACACCAGCACCTACGATCGCATCACCAGGCAAACAGCTTTCAATCTGATCAACGGCATCAAAGGCAAGTTGAGGATGCCCTTCTCCCCACCAACACCCATGATGTTCGTGTCTGCCGCAGAGGCGGGTTGGCCAGACGTGGCTCTGGGTGAGCAGGTGGAGAATGTCGCCCCAGCATGGCTCAAGGAATACCTAGTGGCCAAACGTGCCGTGGAGGGCGAGCTCCGATCCAGTGCTGATGTCATTCGGGCAGCAATTTTCCGGCCATCGCTGATTTGGAGCTGGACCAAGCCACTGAGCTGAAATTTCGACAAAACGTATATAGTTTTACGACAATTTGGGACATCCTTGGGACATCCTTGGGACATCCTTGGCTGCAGATGAGCTGAAACTTCGTCCTTAGGGTCACCACCAGATCTCAGGGTGTCCCTGTTTTTTTTGATCGTTGTGTGCAATTTGCACATATCTGCACTGCTTAGGTTTGATGTCCTGCCAGTGATCCCAGTTTTCAATCTGCTCAATGCCATTGGCGTACCCTTTGTGGATAAAACGGTCACAGTGTCCACGCTGTCGAAAGCCATCGTGGCAGCCCTGGAGGACGAAAGTGTTTCAGGCGTCCAACGCTTCCCAGAGATGGAGGAGCTCGAGAAGATGATTGGATGAGACGCGGATCAGACTCGGATCAGACTCAATTGATTGTCGACTTCCTGGCTGCGATCTTCATGCTTCAAGATTGGATGAGACAGTCCATTCTCAGGAGCCCCGAACGTCTGAAAAAAGAGTGCCCTGCTGAACTGGGAAGATTTGGGAAGGGCCAGAGTCTGGCTATGAAGGTCATAAGGTCAATTGGAAGCTTGAGTCGCTGCAAAAGAACCTGTGGACTACCAGACAATGAGACCAAACACAAAGGAAAGGAGACAGCCTCGCATTACATTCACCAAAGCAATCCAGTGTAGTGGGGGAAATCCTCTGAGAAGCCCTGGCCAAAAAAAAAACGCAATCCAACGCATATACCAAAGCAACAAGAAGGCACACAGCACACACTGAAATCGTGTGAATGTCATTGACGCATCCCACAGCGGAGTGAATACTTGGACAAGGTCGTCTCACCAGCAATCGGTTATGGGCTACCGCCGCTACCGCCGCTACCGCCGCTACCGCCGCTACCGCCGCTACCGCCTTGTCTAAGGTGAACTGGATGATTGGCTTGCTCCACATTTTTGACTGGGCCTTAGCATAGCTCATAGCTGGCATAGCTTGAAGCGTGAGCGACGTCTGCCCCTTGTTCCACCATGTTCCACCCGATTTTTATTTTTCTTGGTGATGATGAAAAGACTGTGCTGGGCTCCTTCCTATCTGTTAAACCCCCAAAGTCTCTCAACACTGGTCATGATCACTGCAATTATTACTGCAATCCTTAAGAAGTACCGACCATATGTTTATTTTTGTATCACGCAACACGTGTACATTGTACATGTAGGGTATAAGTTTCATTCCATGACTACAACGTCCGTGTGTGATTGTCAGCTTTTGGTGCTCTGACATGTAAAATTCTGTGCTATATGCAGGCAGAAACCACACCACTTTTCACCAACCGTCAGCCATCAGCACCAGCAGTCACTAACACTGGCAGTGCTGTGAAGGTCTCGTCGAAAGTGGGTTTTGCCCGTCGAGATAGGGAAGGCTTGCTGATTTTCAAGGCGCGGCGGTGCTGTGTCCAGTTGTCCAGCCTCCAAAGCCTCCAAGACTCAAAGTATGGTAGGTCATGGTAGGCATGGTAGGCTGACTGGATATAAGTTTTGTGTTCGATCCTTTCATGGAAAGTGGCTGGATGATGTTCATGCCGGCTTTTTGTGGATTTCTGTGGTTCATTATATCACATCACACACACACACACAAGCACCTGCACACATACACATACATAATCTCCAATGCCAAGAAAGTGGCCTCACACCTCATGCCAAGCTAGGCTTTCTCCACTCTGTGTTTTGTCCCTTGGCAAGCTTCAGGATGTGAAAATTTCTTGGCTGGTTCCTTTCGGGTTCAAGACTTCAACCCATTCGCTGGTGGTACAAAGTGTCCATCGTACCGTAATTTGCCATGCGTGGCTTTTGAGCAGTGCATGCAGTGCATGATCAATCAAATGCCATCATCGACGGCCACCATGGCTCTCAGCCGGGTGGTTGATAGTTTGGTTATCTCACATTGAAGCCTATTGATTTTGCTCCAAAGGCATTTTTGAAGCTTTTTGCAAGCTGTAAGACTGTAAGATGATTCGCAGGCATGCAGACGGGAAACCAAGTTTGCTTCTGGACATAGTGTGATAACATGATGACAATGTCACAGTCTCCCGAGAGGGACGAGAGAGACAGAGAGAGAGAGAGTCTAGCCTTCATCATCACCACTAGCCGCTTCACTAGCCGTCACTAGCCTTAAATTGCAGCCAGCTTGAAGCCAACCTCAACCGCTGCCTCAGTGTACAGCACTGTCCATGGTGTGTCCGGGACCGCTGGAGAAACGTTCCAGACGTTCCAGTGATGAAAGAATACGAATGGTTGTGGCAAGCCTTGCGACAAGGTCAACATGACCTTGTTACTGCATTGGCTCCTCGGGAATTTGAGCCCTGGCGCCGCTATTTGATTTTTTCTAGGATTTTCTACTCGCTTTTTGGTGAGCGTCATTGTGTTACATTATATGTATATATATATATATGTTACATGGTGTTCTAATTTATATAGCAAAGCCGAAGCACAATGGTTGTCGCTGCAAAAAAAAGCCCCGGATGAGGATTGGAAGTCCTGTCATCCTTGGTATGGCACGCCTTTAATGGCTGCTGTGCACAATGCAATTGTTTGCCCAGGTGGAAAGCAGCTTGGCAAGGATATACGTTCTGTTGCAGTGGCGGTCTGTCAGCTTGTGGCTTCTGCTCAAATATTTATACGGCCTAATTGAGAGTTGCACTGTCTGTGTGTGAGCCCGCAGGGCAGAGTTGTGCTTCCTCCTAATGATTCCAATGAAGGTCAACGCTAGAACAATCTAGAACAGCTTAGGGGTGCTTCAAAGTTGAGTTGTTTCGGGGAGATCTGCCACACCATGTCACACCCCAAGCGCAAACTGGCGGCCACTGACTCATGTGAAGCATGAGTCAATGAGTCAATGAGGCAAGAAGAAGAACGGAGCCACGAGCTGATTCGCTGGTGCATGGCCATGGGTGCAGACCCACGTGGCGTCGCAGGTCGAGCAGATGCCATGAGTGTGGGCCTGCCCCCTTCCCCACCAGGACCTGGTTGGAAAGTTCCTTTCCTGTTGAGCTTTGGCACTTTTGCACATGTCACGTCAAGTCACGCATTCGTGAAGGTGTTGAGTTCCAGAATGTAATGCGTGCAACTATTGAGATCTTTTGGACAGATGTATAATAAAATGTATAGCTTCGGATGCTTGTTTTTTCATCTGCTGCATGGTCATTCTTGGAGCTTTCCACTTTTGCCTGTGATGAACGTTTTCCCGCAATGCGTAGCGAAGGGTTCTCGTTTTACTTTGGGGGTCTGGGGGTTGAGCTCGCCGCTGCTTTCATGTTCGCAACCGTCCGCAACCGTTTGCGATGATTGCGCTATGGCCGTGCCTCTGGTGAGTGCTGCAAAAGTTGTCACTTTTGGAGGTTTCAAACGTTGCGTAACCTCGTTTCGTGTGGCGGACATGGCACTTCGTGACATCCCAACATGTTTCACAAAGTGACAGGCGCAATACTTTTGCGTCGTTTTCAGAAGATGAGTCGCATTTTTCGTGGCGAGCGCAGCACTCAGGGCTGCACGTGGCACTTCGTGACATTCTCACGTGTCTGAAAAAGTGCCGAAAGTTGTTTTGTGTGACAGGCGCTATACTTTTGCAAGGTTTTCCGAAGATGACTTGCATTTTTCTAGCAGGTGCAGTACTTTAGACGTGTCGTGTTGCGTGTTTTTTTTGCGAATTGCATTGTCAGAGACGCGCAAATCGCGTGGCAGGCGTGGGACATTGTGAGAGCGTCATTTTGCGCGGCAGGCGCAAAAATTGGGACAGTTTTGTGATTGCATTTGCCGATTTCCACAGTGGCACGGCTGCCCAGGTGTGATGTTGCCTTTTGTCTTTCGTGCCATTTTGCGTGGTAGGCGCAGTAATCCCCTCGTCCTATTACTAAACCCCCTCCTAATACTAAAAACTAGTGTCCATCTCCAATTTTTTAAAATTTCAGATTGGCCAATTTGATTTTTAATTGTCTCCCTTTAAAAAACAATTGAAAAACCAACCTACCATTTGTGGGTTTCCCCCCCAAATACTAAAAACTAGTCAACCCCGGGGTGTTTAGTATTAGGGGGAAGCTTCGAAATCCAATTTTTTGGCAATATTCTAATTGCGTTATATAAAGAAATTTAATTGATTTTGAAATCGGAAAAACTAGTTTTTAATATTATATAAGGGTTTTAATTTAGTATTAGGGTTCCCTAATACTAAATACCCCCCTAATACTAAAAACTACCTGCCGTGTTTATTATAAGGGGGGTTTAGTATTAGGAAGAAGGGATTACTTGGTGATGATGCAACTGCCACTCTAGACTCGGTCCCTCCACTATTAATTAAAATTGAACATGTCAGATTCCACGCCACATTCTACACTCCACACTTTACACTGCACAGTTGACATTGAACATACGCAATCCACACTCTACAATGTACACTTTACACTTTACACTCCGCACTCTGCGCTCCACACTTTACACTTTACACTCAACCCTCCACACTCTACACATTACTCTCTACACTTTACACTTCACACTGTGCACTTTACACTCCACACTCTTCACTCTACACTTTACACTTTGCACACCACGCTCTACACACTGAGCTTTACACGCCACACTCTACACTTTGCACTTCACACTCCACACTACACTTTGCCCTTTGCACTTCACACTCCAAACTCCACACTTTACACCAAACTCCACGCTCTACACTCTACACTTTACACGCTGAAGTCTAGACTTTACACTTTACACTCCACACTCTACACCCTACACCTTACGCTACACTTTACACTCCACACTTCGCACTTTACACCTTGCACTCCAGACTTTACACTAGACTCCGCACTTTACACTTCACACCCCACACGTTATACTTGACACTCCACACTCTACACTTCACACTTTACACTCAAAACCCTGCACTTTACACTCAACACTCTACACTTTACACTTTAGACTCCGCACTCTACACACTAGACTTTACACGCTGAACTCTAAATTTTGCACTTACAGTCCACACTCTACACTCTACACTTTACCCTCTACACTTTGAACTCCACACTGTCCACTCTACACAATCTACACTTTACACTTTGCACTCCGCACTCTACACTTTACAGTTTAAACTCCGCACTCTACATTCTACTCTTTACACGCTGAACTCTACACTTTACACTTTACACTCCGCACTCTACACTTTACCCTCTACACTTTAAACTCCACACTGTACACTACAAAATCTACACTACACTTTGCACTCCGCACTTGCAACTTTACACTTTAAACTCCGCACTACACTTCGCACTTTATACTCCAAGCTTTACACTTTACACTTTAGACTCCGCACCCTTCAACTGACACCTGACGCTTTAGACTTTACACTCCGCACTCTACACTCGACACTCTACACTTTACTCTCTGCACTTTACACTTTACATTCTGCACTCTACACTTTACAGTTTAAACTCCGCACTCTACACTGTACTCTTTACACTTCAAACTCCGCACTCTACACTCTACTCTTTACACGCTGAACTCTACACTTTACACTTTGCACTTCACACTCTACACCCTACACTTTACACTCTCCACTTTACACTTCACACTTCGCACTTTGCACTTTGCACCTTGCACTCCACACTTTACGCTTTAGACTTTAGACTCCGCACTTCACACTCCACACTTCACACTTGACACTCCGCACTCTACACTTCACACTTTACACTCAAAACTCTGCACTTTACAGTCTGCACTCTACACTTTACACTCTACACTCCACGCTCTACACTTACACCTTGCACTCCACACTTTACACTTTAGACTCCACACTTCAATTTAGACACCTTACACTCCACACGGTGCACTGGCAAACATTTCAAAGCATGCGCATCATGCACATGTAGTTTCTCAATGTTTTTCGATGTGTCTCAGGTTTACGACGACAATGGACACATTTGGTGGCAATACGATGGCATGCTGGGTCTCTTCTGGTGCGAGGACAGCAAAAAGACTGATAGTGACAGCTATTCGTGTCCTGGAGGCGATCCAGCTATGAAGATCATGGCGGAAGAGTAGCTAGGCAAAATGTGATATTTTTAGGTATTTTCAGGCGTTTTTCAATCATTTTCGGTTGAACACCACTGAATTCTGTTATGAATTGGTGAGTCTTATGGTTCATATGCTGCACCTTCCCTGCGCGTTAAAGCACTATAGGGCTGTTGGTGGTTCTCAACTAGGGCCCGGATCTTTTGATGGAATTTCAGCGGCTTTTGATGGCCATTATAACCCTTTGTTCACTGCAATCTCTGAGGCACTCCGGGCATTCCGCAATTTCACTGATCTTGGCCATCAAGAGAAAACTAGACTTGTGGAACTCCGGCACTTTAAATACGTGTTTGACTGTGAGCAGTCTGAAAAGGGGGAGAGTGCAAGGGGGCCTGCTCTGTGGAAGGTACCAGGTTGGTATTCAGTACTAAGTTCCATGAATAAAGATGGATTGAGGGTTTGCTGGTCCACTCTGGCGTGCTTAGTTTGCGGGTCACCTGCGCCCTGCATGATCTGCATGGCATGCGGAGGAATCCGATGTACAAAAAATACAGCGAACGCATCGACAAGTTGGCGAGCGTCTTCGCTTGTGGCACCTGGCCCAAACAACGCAAACTTTTCATCCCTTCCCCAATCTTTATTGTGAGTCGAGACTGGGCAACGAGGGCTACTGTATCAGGGATGTTTTGAACAAGTAGTGTTCTGGGCGACTTATATAGTTACCTGCTATTACATCTTTACATCATAGAATCATAGCCCATAGCCATAGCATGTCATATTACACTTGTATTGTATCTTGGCAGTGGGCATGGTGTGCAGCTGAGGCAGCGTACACCTGGCAGACAACCTCATGCTGGTGAACAAGAACATAGTACAGACGTGGACGAATGCGTTGGCCAATAATCAGTTGGCCGACGTAGAGCTGCAGGTGCTTGCTGAAACTATTCGCTACAGTTTGTTACATGAAAAACATTGAAAACCCCAAACTGTTGCGGGCTCTCAATTCTTTCTTAACAGGTGTGTGCACGCCCTTGTATCACTGGTGATGTCCGGTTCTTTGACGCTCTGCATCTGCATTCATTTGTCTCCCATCATGTGTCTACCAATCATTTTATTATATTTTATTTATATGTCTCTCCGACTGGTGGTGACTGGCTCTGTGAGGGTCTGAGCCTTTGGTTGCTGCCACCATTTGAGCAGCGTCAAAAACTTCCAAGTAAGAAAATTATATGGGGATGAAACATGATGAAGCATGATGAAACTAAGTTGGGCCCGCGGAAGTGAAACCCACGTCCGCGGAAGCATGCAGAAGCGCTTGCGGAAGCAGACTCTGATCGTCCGATCGCGGAAGGGCCGCAGAAGACGATTTCAACTTATGATCTTCATGAGGAGTTTGTTTTCGCGGAAGCTCCGCGGAAGTAGAATCAACTTACCAGTCATCCGCGGAAGCTGAAACTGTGGTCGCGGAAGCGGCGCGGAAGACCGTGCGGGAGACAAGTAGGATTAGAAGAGAATGACATAGGGGTTTTCGCCACCGCTCATTTGTCTCCCAAGAGTTTGCACCAACATTCTAAAACCCAAACACCATTTGTAGCGGGGTCTATGGGAATGTTATTTTATCCCGGGGGAGGGACAGCAATTTTGCCGGTACCTGATGGTATGCGAAACAGGAACCAATTTGGAAACCACCAATCTTGTTTTCACAGATGCCAACTGCCAAAGATAGTGGACTTCAAGACCACATCAAAACCCCGCCAACGTGCCAAACCTTCGTCGCAGCTAGGCACAAGATGGCACCAGTGTTTGGGCGCATGGTGTGGTGTTATGCAGTGCCTCCGAAGTACTCAAGGCAGGATAAGAGTGATTGCCACTTTGTTGCGTTTGGGGATGTCCTGACGGTCTGTTGAAGTGATGCCGTGCGATGTATCCCGTGAGGCAACTCTGAGCTCACCAATGCGTGAAGGACAGACACAGAAGATCCCGTCCAACATCTCCCAGGCGGCACTGCGTCACCTGATGGCGCTGATTTACACTGGATGCCCCGACAAGGACTGGGAGACAGGGCCAGACAAGAAATGACATTTTGATACATTTTGCCATTTTGCAGTAATTGTTGACATGGTAGTCAGGGGCTGGAACACTGGATCCAGTTTGAATCGAATCGTTTGTGTCCACACGAAGTCATGAGAGGTGGGAAGTCATAGAGCAATGCTATGAAGTTGTCAGACCCAAAAACACCTGCCATACCATTGTCTCCTTCACACCTGGTATGGCCTACGTAGGTCCGACTCGTCTGGGCGGGGAACCATGCCATTCCACTGCCATGCAAGGAGTACTCCATCAGCGTGCATTTGGAGGCTTTGGGCCACAGTCCCTAGAAATGCCTAGAACATGATCCAACATGCATGTCGGAGTGTGCAGCCGAAGCATGTCACCACACATGCGGATGGGTTATGTATGTGTACGCCCTTGTGAGTGAATGCAGGTATACACCAAAGGGGACCATCTGGATAGGACAGGATAGGAATATGATGGAATGACTCTTGCGCGCGACACATACTCATCATAAACTACTAGTGTATCCTCAAAGTCCGGACTGGCATGAATCCCAGACCCTTTTCAGGTGATATCTCAGACCACAACTGCCACAGCTGTTTGAGGATTTATATACATATGCATTGAGGTTTTGATGTTTTGAGTTGAACATGACCTCTTGGCGCAGGAAAGTCTAGTTCGATGCCAACTCAACACGAGCCCTCAACAGCTCCAACCTGTAGTTTGTATTGAATGTATGTACCAGCCGGCAAGCAAAAGGCAACGAAAGGAGTTTGGCCAGGTGACATGACATAGCCATGGAATGTGAATAGCGCTTCCTTCGCCTCCTAGTCCAGCTGCGAAGGCATTGGATCTGGCACATCGGTGGCAATTGGATCACATCGTTGAGGCGCTCGAGACGAAATTGGTGAAGGACCATGACATCATGACATTGCTTTCACCAGAGACTGGGTGGTATGTGACATTGCGGGGCTTTCATCGACCAATCCATTTGATGCATATGAATTTATGCGTGCAAATTTTTTCGAGCATGCAGCATGATCTTTGTTATTTAAGATTAATTAAGGCCTTGCTCTTTACTGTTCTTTGAGTTTAGACGCTATATCTTCTGGGCTGGCACAGTGCACGCTGACTCCCTCTGACTGAGCACACATGAAAGCACATAATGTGACTTGACGAAGAACATGTTGCGCTGCATTGTGCCTCACTGTTCTGCCTGGGGTGAAGACACTCCATGTCCCTCACCTCCAGGAGGTATCAGCAGCCTCCAAGCTGTCCGTACAGGTGGGTTTGGTGAAGTTGAATATTGTTAAATCTTTGTATTTTTTGCTGTTTGGTACATGCCGCAGGAAGTTGCAGTAAGTGGAGCTAGAGCTAGGATGGTCAACCTGTGCCACCCTATGCTCACCATTGATCACCAAGATGCTGACTTCCAAATGGTCCTTCTGAATGAAGTCCTTCCAACTTTGATTGTAGGGTTAATCATTTTGGATTGATCTTACGCCCAGACCTGGGCAGGAGCAGTTGGCAATGATAGACCATGCCTTGGAAAGTGCAGTGCTCAAGCACTTGCCAAATCTGCGGCAAGCCTGCCATCGCACCGTTGCAGCTTCTCAATGCTTGCGGGATGCTGCGATGCGAAACGAATTTGGATGCATAGCCAGCAAGGTTGGGGCCCGGCAAATTGCAAGATGGGGTGTGAGGGTTGGAGAAAGGATTCTGGAGGAAGATGCTCGAATATAGATCTTTCATGTCCTTTCATTTTCTTGGCTGGTCCCATGTTCAGCAAAGGGATCCTGGAGGGCAAACTGGAAGCTCCCCGACCGGTATGAATCAGCTAGGAATGCTAGGACACTGCTGTTTAGGTATACCATGGTATACCCAGGAACCGCCTTTGCCATCCATTTTGCTCAATTTGGCCCGCAACAAGCAGCCGGTGTTGTTTTCGTCCAGGATTTGGCGAGCATCACTGGAGGAGAACAGGGTCCTGGTGTTGGAAACAAGAGAAAAAGGACCTTGGAGCTCACCTGATTCTCCAGGACGGAATGTGGAGCAGCTGCTCCTTGGAGCAGCAACTTTAGTCTTGACATCCCAATGCAGCCAATTTAGTAATTTTTACTCACTGATTATCTGATTTCTTCCAATCTCTTGCAAGAGCTTTGCTTCGATTACGCCTCCACAATGTGAGTATTCACATTTGACATGATAGACATCAAAAATGGTGCGCGTTTCTTTTCTGATCTCAATTTTGTTTAACTTGGCCAAAGCGTCGAATTGCACTCCAACCTTGAGTAGAATGCATCGAATAAGTGTGTATTGTATATGTTTAATTTATTTGACATACATCTAATTATCTATGCGATTTTATTGTAACTCCAAAATAGCCACACGGACAATCATTGGTATCTCCTGTACAGTCTGCTTGGCGATGTTTGTTCTGAGGTTAGCAATGAAGCCCCTAACAGATGTCACATGCTCGCAGCTCTTCCTGCTATACATATACATTATATGACATATGATATATGATACATGATATATATATTTATATTTATATTTATATTTATTTATAGATAAGTAATATATAGCCGCCACCAAAATTTTCTGGTGCCTACGGAAAAAGGAAATGATATGGGTACTTTTTTTCTCTGTACATTTACTGTATTTCCTATAATTCTGTCGGTAGTACTGATTTTCATCATTTTGGCAAGGTTCTTCCGCAGTTTTTTAATCATCATTTTACCATTGGTTGTATTGTAAACAAAATTCCAACCTATTTCAGCATTTTACCATTGCTGTTAAGTGATTGTCCGACCAATTTTAGCATTTTTCAGTTCGTTTTCAGCAGTTGTTCAGGCACATTTCAGTATCTTACCGTGGTTTTCATCAGTCTTTCCAATCTATTTCATCATTCAGCATTGGCTTTCATAAGTTTTTCCTTCTGTTTCTTGGAACAATTTCAAACAGGAGTCCTCCATAAAAAACATGCACTTCAGGGGCAGGATCTGACCGGCTACCCTTTTTGGATGAGTTTGCGACCACTATTTTCTTCCTTTTCTATACAGTACATACAGGATGACCAATTTATGAAGAAGAATACGCACATTTTTTGATCAGGTGTCTCAAAATAAATATAGAAAAAATGGGCATCACAAGATGGAATTCTGAATGAATTTGGCAGGTTGCACCCAAAATGCAGAAGCAAAATGAATTGTAGAAACAACCAGAGATCACAGATTGAATTATAGAAGAACATGAAAACGGCCAGAAGTCAAGGATAGAAGGCATATTTTTTGGTTGTTAACAATTGTGGGCAAGAGTCAATTGTAGAGAAAGAATCGCGAGCAGGTGCTGCTGCGGATTTATATTTTTTTTTGGCAATTCCGTCGGACACCATATATTCATATGAATATATATATATATTATACACAGATCATACAGTTTTGGATAAATGTTGCAGCAAATGCACATACAATAGTCTCATAGAAGTATATACAAACACATTAATATAAATATGACTATGAATATGAATATAAGTCTAAATAAATAACACAACATATATAGATTGGTCGCACTTCCCGTTGCAGGAGGAACAGCTGGGGAAAGCCGGGCACATGGTGGCATATCGTCGAAGGCGGAACTACTGAGGGGTGCCCGGCAACGCTCATGGCGCCCAACACATTCAATCGGTGTGTCCAAAAAAGGGTCCAACATCCAAAAAAGAATGCATAATTTGTGTAGCTTTGTGAAAATCTTTAATTTTTTCTAGTGTGTTCAAAGTTTGGAGGTATGTCCAATTATTTCCAGGTGCCGTGGATTGTCATCCGCCTTGCTCCCTTCAGTACCGTTTCAGGATTTGCTCGAATCTTTAGCATATCCGTTCGCTGCGCAGTCGCCGGTGTGTCAAAATGGACCGAAATGACTGCCAAGTTTCTCAATCCACACCACCTGAACGAACGCTGCCTTCGCTTCTTCGTGTTTCTCTCTCCTTTGGATGTCGAATAGTTTGCAGGGATACTGCTTGACATCTTGAAAACTTGTCCGTTGTGGAAACCCGAGGTCAGCTTCCTTTTCAATGTGGCCATTACCATCTTCCCAGAGAGCAGCCTGGACCTCAGATAGCCTAAGGTTGGCTGAAGCACCGTAGAATTATAATGAATTATATATTCTTATCAATACATCGATTTCTTTATTTATTTTTGGCTATCTATCAATATATCTACCTACCTACCTACCTACCCACCTACCTACCTACCTACCTATCTATCTATCAATCTAACAATCCTTCAATCTATCAATTCATCAGTTCATCAATTCATCAATCATCATCAATCTATCATCTATCAATCGATCCTTCGATCCTTCGATCAATGGTTCAACCTATCAATCTATCAATCAATGAATCATCTATCTATCTATCTATCTATCTATTCTATTCTTATTCTTATTCTTATATTCTTAAATTCTTAAATTCTTAAATTCTTATTCTAATTCTATTCTATTCTATCCTTTCCTATCTATCAATTTATCACTTGTTTGAACCCCCCGCCAACTACAAGAGTCGTGGTAGACCACACTTCGAGGTGCCCATCCTTTGCGTTTCTTGCTTCATCCACTTGGCGAAGGTCGTCCAGTCACATCCATGCAGGACTGACATTGATCGACCACACGCACGCAGACACAGAAAGAGACAAAGACAATGACACATATAATCGCACACACACACAGATACTGGTGATTATATATGTGTATGTATAGATGCAATATTATATCTATATAGCGCACACATATCGATATGTGATAGGTGTATGTATGATTATGTATATGTCAATTCATGGTGGCTGAGGACATTTCCTTCCAGGTTCGAGCTTCAGTGCACTTGTTCCACGCCTGGCGGCCCAGTGAACCCAACTGTGTCAGGATGAATTGTGGAGGGCCTGGGATGGTGTCCTTGAACAGGGCGTAAACTGGAAAGCTGTAGGACTGGGTTCCCATGTCTGTTGTGGAGGTCCAGTACCCTAAAGAACCCGACGGTTTTTTTTTCGGTGGTCTTGAGGGAATTGATCGAGTGATTCTGGGCGAGATTCATACTGCTGCACTCTTCCTTCAAATTTGTGCTTGAGAATTGCGCAGTCACTGCGCAAAGCCAGGTGCTTGTCCCAGGTAGTCTCTTCATTGGCTACCTACTCTTCCCTCTGCAAGGCTTTGTGTGGTTTGGCGCTCAGATCTTTACCAGATGCCGAGTTCACAAGGCAAGATGGCCCACTTCACTGTATTATACACTGCATTTGTAAACCCTCGACAAGAAGGCATACGGCACGATACGGCTCTTCTCTATTCTTAATGCTTAAACTAGACTTGCCCATTTGCCAATTTTTTTGTTTGGTATAGAAGGGGAATGATGGGAACACATGCATGCATATAATATATCACATGCGCGCACAAAAACGTAGAGAATCACACATACGTACATCATATCGTATACGGACATACATAATATGATATAATATGTATATAACATGTATATGCAGACTATGTTTGACAGCGTCGCAAGTGTTGCCAAGTCATCCAAGTCGCCAGGCCTGCAGTTTCCACCATTTCCTTCTTACGCTTTTGGTCAGCACCTCAGCACACCCACCGAAGTGAGTTTCCTAACATTCGCACCGGAGATACAGAAGCCTAATTTCAGAAGTCGTGTTGTCTCATGATGTCTCATGTTGTCTGCGTTTCCGCTGTAGAAGTGCGGAGTATTTGGGCGTCTCGCTGAAGCTTGATTCATCTATGAGGCACAGCCGGAGCTTCACCTCTGACCTGAAAGCACGTGAGGTGCACTTTGAATGTGTTGAGTCACATGTTCAGAGCTTCAGAAAATTTCCTTGCGGTGTTGGATGACATTAAATTCTGGATGACGTGCGAGATTTGTATTGTTTACAAACGGCTGGTGTGGCCCACACGAGCTAAACGCATCTGAATTGTAACAATGAAACAATTTCAAAAACCTGAAGCCCATGGCGCCATGGATGCCGTGGAACCGTGGAGCAGCCCTTGTGGACCCGGTCTCTTGTGGCTCCTGTGGCTCTTGTCACTCCAGGCCGAAAAGGCGATGGAACCCTTGGGCATGAGCCTTGGCCACGACTACATGGGTTTGGGGGCTCAGACGGGCTGCCGAGACGGAAGTATGCGATATGCGAACCATTAGCAGAAACATGCAGAAACTTGGCGTCCAGAAATATCCAGAAACCCGAAAGGTCAGGATTCTTTGCAACATACGACAGAGCTTTCCAATTTCTTTACATAGTCTCTTCAACTTTCTGCATTGCGGGTGTCAGGATTTCTGCTATTTGATTATGGCTGTGCCAAGCCTGAGGACATTTCTTTATGGCTGTGCCAAGCCTGAGGACATTTCTTTACCCATCATACCTATTACATCCTATTACTCCTTTTTTATATAACCAAGTCAGGATGCCATTCCTCGGTCACATCCGAAGTTGAAACCAGTTGCAGGCTTTGTGGTACAGCCACTCTCCTGCAGCTTGACCCTCTTCTTTGCCTCTGGCGTGGCTTGGTCGGGCACCTGGTGACCCAGAAACGGCGCAAAAGAGCTGGTTGTTAACCTGGTTCTTTTTGGAAAACGTGGTCTGCACAGATGGGACTTTCTGCCTCAGCACTCGCAACCCACAGTTTCCCACGCAACTGCACCAGAAATTGAACTCTTCTGTGGTGGCTTGCGCAAAGCCCTGCCACCATATAAACTTGCAAGATCTTGCAAGAAGTTGATGGGCAATGAAGTACTTAACAATTGCTGAAGCTGAGTAAATTGTGCTCCCAGTGGGGTTCAAGGTGAGTTGCACACTGTGGTGGCTGGATGCTTTGAAAACGACAATGTAGGGACAGTACAAGCAAAATTGGATTCAGCGTCGAGGGTCCGCAATGAAGCCGTGTATAGCTGCAGAACCAAGACAGTACGTGCAGCGTCATTCATTGATAATGAATGATCATGATATAATCCATCTTTGCAAAGACAATATGGCATATATGAAAGATATTAAAGTGACCCCATCACGGATTTATGAGGTAGATGGCCAAGACTAAATGTAGTGGAATGACCAGAAGAGAAGGGAAACCAATCTAACACTGGTTCGGAAAGGAGGTAGTGGGAAAGGGACCGCAGCGTGTAGGAATGTTTGGTAAGTGAATTTGTGCGGACGGGAGGAATCCAGTAGGTTAAGCCTTTCAGAAGCCACGGGTGAAAATTTCTTTGGAATTCAGATGCAGCATGATGCAATCCACATCAATCCACTGTACAGATCTCTGCCAGGACTCTACACGTGTGGCGTTTGGGATCCAGGAAACGAAGCAAAGAAAAGGGCGAGGGCACACAAGATGCCCGCAGTGTGCCCCGCCCATGCGCCTCATTCTTCTGCTGTATGCCCTGACACATGTACAGGCGGTCTTGGATATACTGACCGGATTGAAGATGCTTGGCACATCTTGGCAATCCTTTGATGTTTTGATATGTGAATCCAAAAGAGCTTTGGTCAACTCTGTGGTGGCCAAAGCAAATTTGCAATATGTGTGGCACATGCATACATGACATGTTAAAACATGTTAGAACATGTCAACGCATTTGTGTGTTTGTACATGAGCGAGTAAGTTGATTTATTATTATTGAGTTACTTTAGTTAGTGAGTGAGTGAGTGAGTGAGAGAGTTAGTGAGTTAATTCGTTAGTCTGTGAGTCCGCGAGAGAGTTGGCCAGCTTGTTACTCAGTTGGTTTGTTATTGAGTGATATTGAGTGATGTTGAGTGATGCTGAGTGAGTCAGTGAGTTAGTGACTTAGTTGGTTAGGTAATGAGCTAGTTAGGTGTGTCGTTTGTTTGTTTGTCTGTCTGTCTGCCTGGCTGGCTGGCTGTCTGCCTGTCCTGTCTGTCCTGTCTGTCTGTCCTGTCTGTCTGTCCTGTCTGTCTGTCTGTCTGTTTGTTTCTTTGTTTGTTTATGTGTTGTTTGTTTGTTTGGTTTGGTTTGGTTGTTAGTTAGTTAGTTAGTTAGCTAGCTAAGTTAGTTAGTTAGTTAGTTAGTTAGTTAGTTAGTTAGTCAGTCAGGTAGTTAAGTTAGTTAAGTTAGTTAGTTAGTTAGTTGGTTAGTTAGTTAGTTGGTTGGTTAGTTAGTTAGTTAGTTAGTTAGTTAGTTAGTTATGTTAGTTAGTTAGTTAGCTAGCTAGCTAGTTAGTTAGTTAATTAGTTAGTTAGTTTGTTAATTACTTAGTTAGTTAGTTAGTTAGTTAGTCAGTTAGTTAGTTAGTTAGTTAGTTTGTTTGTTTGTTTGTTTGTCGGTTTGTTTGTTCGTTTGTTTGTTCATTTGTTCGGCGTGTGTTTGTGTAGTTTGTGTGTGCTTGTTTAGCGTGGACGATTTGGGGCCCGTACCCCACTTGCAATGACTGGAGAGTGGGCCACTGATTTTGATGCTGCATGATGGTGCCAGGATGCCAAGGGGGTTGGCATTGGATCTGCAGGAAGGCCGCATGTACTGGGCAGAAGACGGCACAATGAAGTTGAGAAGCGCCACGCTTGATGGGCAGGACCTTCGAGATGTGCCTGTGGCCAAGCTTACGATCTTTCGACGGAAGATCTTAGTCTCGTTAGTCTAAGATAAATTGATGATAATTGATGCATGTTGATTCATATGATGAATTTAATGTGCCGTGTGCCCTACTTGGAATTTAGGAGGGTTGAGCAGGTTTGAGTTGACACTCATTTTTTTGGAGCCAATGATCCACCATTCAAAGCGTCATGGTTGCGTGTTGGTTTTTGCCCTGAAGCACTCCTTCCGCAAAACCATTTTTATCTCTACTGGCCTTTGTTGACTCCAGTCCTGGCACTGTGTCGCTTGCGTCACACTCCTTCCGTTGATTCGTTCCTGATCGTTCCTGATCGTTCCTGATCGTTCCTGGCAGGTGATAGTGAAGACTGAAGTCCAGGAAGCCCCACGAGATGTTGCTGTGGATTTCACCCGTCGGAAAGTGTATTGGACCGCTCTCTGCTGCGGCTTGCGCCGGGCCAATCTGGACGGTAGCGACGAAGAAATTGTGGCGAGCGCAGAGTTTGCAAGTGGAGTAGCTATTCTGAATGGCTCAGTTTTCTGGGCAGATTGGATGCATGGCCAAATTTTTCGTCGGGATATGGGAAACTCGGGAACTGAGGAGCCCATTGTGACAGGTCTTGCGTCACCCGTGGATGTTGCAGTGGATCCTCAGAACCAGCAGATTTACTGGTCAGACGTAGGTATTGCCAGAACACAGCGCGCTTCTCCAGACGGCAGCGACATACAGGTTCTGAACATGAGTTGGGCTATTATGAATACCTATGGCACTTGGCGCGTTGATTCAGAGTTTACCACTTACTGATCTCACTGTACTTTTGTTTTTTCTCTTACTGTATCTATCTGTATCTATCCTTAAAACTAGGACATTGAAATGTGGATTTCCCGATTTTCTACTTTAACTTTGTCATGTTTCCTGGTGAGAGGCTTGCACTTGTTGCCCCATCATTCCAACTTCCTACACTTGTGGATCAGGTATGGCTGTAGATGTGCAGGGTAGGAAGTTATACATGGCCGACTTCGAAAAGACAGGGGAGTTGACTGGTAGCAGCTCCGACTACGAAGGCCGAATCATCCGCACCAACTTAGATGGAAGCCAGGCGGAGGTGTTGATGAACGAGCCGGGCATCTGAGCTGAGCTTCAACAGATTTTACATTCGTTATATATGTATATAATATATATACATATACGATCATATACGTGATTATGTATATTTAAATCATTTAAGGTGGTTTACATGTTATTTGACGCCTGCGGATGCTTGTGGCTTGTGTTTCCCTGACTTTGGGTACTGTACTGACTGTACTGTGCATGTTTCGTATGGACGTGGGAGCCATAGGCCATGCCATAATCATCCCCATGCAAGGAGGCACAGGGCCCATCGAAAGGTTCCAAAATCCGACATGGAATTATATAATACAAGGCCTTGTGACGCCCAGGACAACATCTCCGACATAGCAAACAGATACGTGTGCTCCGTTTGTCCCACACATAGACAATGGCAGAAACTGCTGCGCAGTTTCAATTTAGTGACTGGTTGTGAATGGCATAGAAAAACATGAAAAACAGATTTGTGATTTGCGAATTTGGGTTGCTCTCAGCTCCAGGCATGAGCATGCCGTATGGCATCGCCGTGGACTCTGCTGCAGAACAGGTGTATTGGACAGATCAAAAGGCTGGACGCATCCAACGCCTCTCATTGCGTTGTGCTAGCGGCGTTCTGGAGGTGCCAAGCAGGATGAATTCCACCATGGTGCAGGCTGGCTCTGACAAAATTTGTTGCAACATCATCATTTGATAGTCATGTACTCTAATCATCACATGCACAACAAAGTGTGAAGTGATTTCGCGGTGTTTGTGTTTGGCAGGTGGAACATGGTGAGGCAGCTCATGGTAGCTCCATCGAAGTGCGCTGCCCCACTGGTTACAACGGCACAGTGACTCTGGCATGCAGAGATAGTAGCTTTGACTTGAATCGCGGCAAGTGCGGAAAGCGCTGTCCAGCAGGTGCACAAGATTTTAAGCCGCCCGGGGAAGACGATCTCAGCTATGTCGTGGGATATCCTGAAATGGATGACCGTGAAGACGTGGTCTCTGAATGTCCCAGTCCTTTGGTTGGCACCATGCGTTTCTACTGCCAAGATGGTGTGGTCCTTGCCCGAGAACGGCAATGTCGCCAGGCACGGCCTTGTCCCGAAGGGGACTTTTTGCTCGACCATGCGAAGGTGCATCACTCGGAAATCAATCACGGCTTCATGGAAGCTAGCACCTGCCCCGATGGCTTTGAAGGACTGTGTCTTGGGCCCAGGGGTTCCTTCACCAACCATATCTTTAGACTCAAATTGTGAAGGGTTCCGAAGATAGGATCTTATACTAGAATATATCTGATACATATGTATACCATACAATGTACTGTATATAATTTATATAATCATTGCGTATCTCATCAACCCGACAAAAACCCACCATGACCAGTCCTGCAATTGCCCCTGGCCGCCCCTGAGGACAATACTTCTTACAGTGCCAGGAGAGCCAGGTTCAATAGGTTTTGACATTTAGGATATTTAGGGACAGTTCTGTAAGACAGCTTTTCGGATCTTTTCGGTGTTTGTTTACCTTTCTGACCTTTGTGATGACGTTGAGAAGATCCACAGCCCTGACAGGATGGGGAAGTCATCACAATGTACAACAGCTCCTGCACAGCTACATGTGATTCAGCAGGAAGTTTGTGGGTTGATGATGGCGCGGTGGAGGTAGGGCAGAAGTTGAAACCTGATCAATGATCAGCACATACTCCCTTGTAGTATGAGTTCTCTTCCATGCGTCCAGAGACCACTGACAGCTTCCAGCCCAACATTTCCTGATAATCCTGCCTTATGAAGCGCCATCAATATCATTATGCAATATAATGTATAACTTAATATAATCCAAACACCAGTCTTCACAACGTTGCTTGCTGCTTTCATGACCCTCCTGTCCCATCTATCATTCTCCCTTCAGGTCTCCCATGGAAAGATCATTGAGGGTGGAAAGCTGAAAGTGGTCTGCCCCGCTGGGTCCGCAGGAGAAGGCCCGGGGGTGTTGGGCATTTGCAGCATCCCAAGGCCCAACCTGGCACAAGACATTCAGAACAAAGAAACATCTATCCACTAGAGGATTTCCCAAGCAGTGTCGGAACATTTCGGATACTGCCTGACTTTATGATATTTTATGACTTTTTATGATGTCTAATCCCAAGAACAGGTCAGGGGTTGCTTTCAACTGCATTCAGAGGTTTATGCTGAATTTGTATACATACGCTATTACTCCCGGTGTAACGAGAACCAAGCAGATGAAGCAGCGACCTTTGTGGAGAGGCGTCTACCTATCCTGTGAAGATGGCTACATCAACGTCACTGAGAGCACATGCCAACGCTCCTCTTTTTGCCCTGGTGGATCTGTCTTAGCTTCTCGCCTGACATCTAAGGCTTACTAAGGGACCAGGTCGGATAATTCGGCTTCGGAGAAAACAGCGTTCTTTTTGACTTTTTGACTTTTTAACCTTACACAAGATGAACACACTGAAGCACCAGCTTGCAAGATCTGGAGCCGAGGTGTCTAGTGCGGAAATTCTTCATGACAACTTGGATGATCAGGAACAAGTTATTGTGCAATGCCCCGGCGGCTTTTCTGGATCTATAGGTCTGACGTGTCAGAAGGGTATGATCCTGACTGAGGGTTGCTTGGATTCAGATGCTGGGGGTTGAACGATGCTTTCCAAGGGCCAGCTACTTTGTTGATCTTTGTTGTATGTACTATGTTGATGCAATTTGATGCAATTTGATGCATATAGTCATCATGTAATCCGATGCATAGCTTTGGGAACTATTGGGAACTGAAGTCTTCAGCTGTTTGGTGCCCGCCGTGCAGCATCGCATTTCTTTCTGAAAGGTCCCAACCGCCCAGCCCCCCGCATCCCTTCTCCGAGCCCAGGTAGTTGTCACAAAGGATGTGATCAGACCTTCACCAACATCTCCGGTTTGCAAATAGAACTCCCTGGTGATTTGGAGCATGAGATGCAGTGGAAAGTGGAGTGCCCAGAAGGTAAGCTCTCATTTGCTTTAGAATGCTTTCGGATTCCTTGTTGAACATTGGCCATCAGCATGTTCATCATATTTTCTCTAAAGAGATACAGTGATATACATATAAAACTATAAATGCACTGATAGGTGGATGAATGGATGGATGGATTGACAGATTGACCGCTAGATTGATGTATAGATTGAAAGATTGAACGATTGATCGAAGGATCGATTGATAGATTGATAGATCGATGAATTGATAGATTGATAGATTGGTGAACTGATGAACTGATGAATTGATGAACTGATGAACATATAGAAATACATGCGCACACACACACACGCGCATGTATATACAATATGAACAACAATATACAACTATATACACTTACTTACAATTATACATTTATATACGGAGGGCTAATTATTTTAGGATTTTTTTTTTGATCAGGTTTAGGAATTATTTTTGGATTCCTGCTTCTCTGCTTTTCCTGCTTTTCCTGCTTCTCTGCTTTCCTGCTTTTCCTGATTTTCCTGCTTTTCCTGCTTCTGCTTTTCTGCTTTTTTACTTTTCTGCTTCTCCTGCTTCTCGCCTTTTCTGCTTTTTTGCTTTTCTGCTTCTCCTGCTTCTCTGCTTCTCTGCTTTTCTGCTTTTTTGCTTTTCTGTTTTTCCTGTTTCTTTGCTTCTCTGCTTTTCCTGCTTTTCTGCTTTTCCTGCTTTCTTTGCCTTTCTGCTGTTTTGCTTTTGTGCGTTTCCTGTTTCTTTGCTTCTCTGCTTTTTTGCTTCTCTGCTCTTTTTTGCTTTGCCTGCTGTAAATACTTGATTTTCATGTAAGATGCATTTTGCACAGTATTTACATCCCTGAGTATCACATGACCAACCTTCTCTTGAAAACTAGCAACGTAACATGTGAGAAGAGGTGCTTGCATTCTGCTTTGGGGGGAGGCGCTGCGCCCTCCCCCAATCCCCCCCTCCCGCTTTTTTTTATTTAAACTTAAACCCAAGTTACATTAGTTGGTTTTTGCGAACTAACCTTCTCTGGAAAGCTGACAGGATTACATGTGATAGATAGATAGATAGATAGATAGATAGATAGAATAGATAGAATAGATAGATTAGATAGTTTAGATAGATTAGATAGATTAGATAGATTAGATAGATTAGATAGATTAGATAGATTAGATAGATTAGATAGATTAGATAGATTAGATAGATTAGATAGATTAGATAGATTAGATAGATAGATAGATAGATAGATAGATTAGATAGATAGATAGATAGCTAGATAGCTGGATAGATAGATAGCTTGGTAGAAAGATAGCTAGATAGATAATGATAGATAGATAGATAGCGAGCTAGATAGGTAGATAGCTAGAGAAATAGATAGCTAGATACCTCGATAGATAGATGGCTAGATAGATAGCTAGATAGATAGATGGCTAGATAGATAGCTAGATAGATAGATAGCTGGATAGACAGCTGGATGGCTAGATAGATAGATAGCTAGATAGATAGAAAGCTAGATAGCTAGATAGCTAGATAGATAGTGAGCTAGATAGCTCGATAGCTAGATAGCTGGATAGACAGCTGGATGGCTAGATAGATAGATAGCTAGATAGCTAGATAGATAGTTAGCTAGATAGCTCGATAGCTAGATAGTTGGATAGACAGCTGGATGCTAGATAGATAGATAGCTAGATAGATAGAAAGCTAGATAGCTAGATAGCTAGATAGATAGTTAGCTAGATAGCTAGATAGCTAGATAGATAGCTAGCAAGATAGCTGGATAGATAGCTAGCGCCCTCCCTCAATCCCCCCCACCCGCTTTTTATCTAATCCCAAGCTTCCGCATCTGTAAATATTTGGGTGAACATGCTCACATGTAGAACATCCCATACAAAATGGAAGGTGAACATGCCAAAATGTGGCAAATACCATACAAAATGGAAGGTGAACATGCCCACATGTAGGAAATCCCATGAAAAATGGAAGGTGAACATGCCAAAATGTGGCAAATACCATGCAAAATGACAAATTCAAGTTCCAAACCGTTGCAAACACTAGGCAAATGGTACCAGCCAAGAAATCCAAAAAAAAATCCCAAACCTGCTCAAAAAAGAATTCCTAAAACTATTTCACACCCTTTATATACACATATACATATTTACACACACATATCTGTATACACAAGTTAATGATATTCAATAAATCAATCATTTTTTTGTGCCGCGCCGCCAAAGGTCATTCAGGCGAACTACCTTTCAAATGTTTGGATGGCAACCTGACTTGTCCTGACTGCAAGTGTCTTCCACGGCTCTCTACGATGGCTCCAGTGATGCCTAGGGTGGAGATTTCTGAGTTGCCAGTGGCTGCCCTAGCTGCAGCTGTGACGGCGGTGATTTTGTTGCTGTGTTTTGCCGCGGGATTGCTGTGGCACCGGGCCGTGAGACGCAAAGCCATGGCCGCTGCAGTGGCAGCTGCAATGGGCGACATCCCAACGCATTCGGTGCTGCCGAAGTCTGGCACCCGCTCTGGCCGCTCAGGGCATTCGGTTTCACATTCGACTTCTGCAGCGTCCAGTGGGTCAAAGCCGAAAGATGAGGCATCCTTCGAACTGGTAGTTGATTTGCCGATGGCACTTCCACTCTACTGGGCTACGAATCATGGCATTCACATTTTTCCGGACCCGAATCGAATTGGAGAAGTGCAACTTAGACCTCATTAAGCTGCAACGGGATTCAATGCGAAGAGCTGCGCAACTGCCATGCATGAAAGCATATGAAAACATATGAAAACATATGAAAACCAAGGTTGCCTTCAGACTTTAGGGCTCATAGGTATTGAGGTGGTCCAGAGGCGCGTCGCAGGAACGTTGTTGACTCAATCTTTGCAGTGTGGACAAGGCAAGCCATGTGAGTTGTCACAAGGCTCTGGTACCATGATGCAGAGTGACGTAGAGTGACCCTGCCCCCAAGGCAGAATCTGATGACCGAAACGTGGATGTCACACTATACCCGAGATCGCCTTTTGCACTGCGGGGGCAGGGTACCAGTAGGTTGTCGGGTCGCCAATGTGCTTCGTGTGGAGAATCACAAGGCGAGGAGAAGCTGCCGGTGCCCGCAATGTTGATCCAGTGTTCAAGGATTTTTGATGATTTTGATGATTTTCCTGCAGTTTTGCTTACATTCTTCGAATTCTTTCACATGGCAAATCGCTCAGTTTGATCAAGCCTTGGGGTGTAATGCTTTTCATTGTTTCCCTGTTTGGCGTTTGGAGTTGGAGGCCTATGCCCGCTATTCCAGCTACAAAGATGCTTTGCGGATGAAGCGCTCTCAGCCATGTAAAAGATTTACCGTTCGCACCAGTGGGAAAATCAATCTTCTAGACGAGAGCGTGAATGAGGTTGCTCGGAAGGGAGGAAAATGTGGTGGAAGCTGGGGGTTCTCAAGTCTCAAGGCACTATTTTCTTTCTCTTTCCTCTTTCGGTTCCTTGCATCATGCCCTTTGGTCGTTTCGATTGGGGAACTTGCTGTGACATCGTACATCCTTTTGCAGGAAAGTGAATGAGAGAGGGGTTGAATATGAGTGAATATGATTGAATATGACTCTTATGACTGAATCATGACATGTCATGGTTTGCACATGTTTGCACCTTGGGCATCTTCGGCATCTTGTCTTTACCTTTTGGATGCTTTTCAGATTGACCCCACGGTGGCCCCGTGAGGCCTACCTCTTCCACGGCACAAATCCAGAATCGGCACAGTCCATCTGCAGAGATTTCTTTCGAATGGATCGCGCTGGTACCTCTTCTGGCACCATGTTTGGCCCAGGGATCTATTTGGCAGAAAACGTGCCCAGACAAGGTTTGTATGTTTTTTTTTTGTGTGTGAGCGTTTCCAATATTCTTGCTTTTCCCGACAGCCAAGACATGCCATTCGAGTTCAACTTAGGCCAGCAAGAGCGATGAATATGCAAAAGAAGGCTCTGGAGTTTACGTTGGGCTTTGTGCTGTGCTACTTTGCCGTTGCAGCATGGGTGAAGTTCTTACAGTTTCCCAAGCAGGGGATATGCAAGAAAGGTTGCGAGACGGAGGCTACAACTCATTGTGTGGTGACCGGTTGGCCGCAGTTGGCACCTACCGGGAGATGGTCTTTTTCAATGAGGAGGCTGTGTATCCTGAGTTCATTGTAATCTACACTCGTTCCTTTGAATAAGTTTCACTGCGTTGGCACCGCCACGGTGGTCCCACTGCATACCTATTGCGCGAGATCTCTCGTGGCTCTTTCTCCCCTAAAGGGAAGAAATGCAAATTCAGAATTTGATGCCACCGATATTTTGCGGCTCCACGATCTCAGGGCATTCTGGCATACTATCTAGCTGCTGGATGCTGAGGTTTGAAGTCGTGTCTCACAGGCATCTTGAATGTTGCCCTCCAGAATAGAATTGAATAGACGCAAAGATGCGGAAGGGGTGCGGGATGGATGGAAGAAACTCCTGTTTTGCTCGCCGGTATCTCGGACTTTATCAGATGTATCACACACACAAAATGCCAACGAGCTTTTGCCGCCTTATTTTTGTTCTGTTGGACTAAATCCATTCAAGGGTTTGAAAGATCGAAAGTTTGCAGTGTAACATAGTGTAACATGTGGAAGCCAATGGGCCATGCCCCCTTGCATTGTGTCAGCGTTGAAGCGTCTCAAAATCCAGGGAGCCACGGATTCAACACGACACCATCCAGTTGTACTGATTGTACTGGCACTGAACTTCGGCCTCTTCACATTTAAGTAGTCCTAGTCCTCAAAATCACAAGCCACTGCGAACATGTTCCTAAACCGGCCCATCTCTGTTGCACCCAGTTCTTATTTTTGGAGACAGCTTTAACTCACTGGGGAAGGTGGGGGCTCCGGTCCAAGCCCTTCCAACTCGACCAAACTTCTTGTGTCTCCCCGGCTGAGGCAGACCTTTGCCTTCCTTGCAGCATGGAGTGCTTTCATGATGCCCTTCACGAGGCAAGGCTTGGGCGTGAGAAGTGTTTCAAAATGTTTCAAACAGTGTTTAACAGAATGTGCTGAACATATTCCGAAGAGATCAAAAAAGCTCAGTCTCAAGTGATGCCAGCAGTGGCTCTTGGGGAGCGGTGGTGGAGGTACATGCATTTGCGAGCGATGCGGCGGAGCTACTTTTCCACCAACCGCATTGATATGGCCAGGGGTCCCAGATGTCGGATGCCTTGCACTCAAGATGAGCAAGAAGAGTGTCGGAGGGGAAACATATGGAAACATGCTTCAAATGCTGAGGATGCACTTTTTGCCTGGGGCTTTCCTCATTCCCAGGCTGGGGTTGTGCAGCTGGGGTGTTGTCACGCCTTGCCAGGATGAAATTTGCAATGCTAATAGCTCGGTCGGTGTCATGGAGTCCGCTCCAACCAACGCACCTTGGAATCTTCCTCGACAGGTCTTGGCAGCCAGTGCGTTTTGGGCAGCCCGAATCTACAATTGGCATGAAACCCAGCTGGTGAAGTAATTCTGACGATTGAATACGATCCAACATGGCAAAATCATCTTCGCACAAAGCGCCTTTCAAGGACCTTGCTGGTCGTCCCCGCAACGTGGCTGCCCCAAGGGGGTTCATGTTGGGGTATGGTGAGTACGCTGGTGGCTGAGGTGGTTGGGAGCTCTGGCCGTGTACCATGTGTTGCTCGCCTTCATAGTGCAACCGCTGGTGCTTCCCAAGGACAGCACATTCGAAGACGGTGTTTGTAATGTTTGAAATCATTTGAAACCGTGTCTGTGGAAGTTCGGCTTGCAGTGGACATGTGAGTTTGGGGTTGATGGACTGCGATGGACAAGCACAACTTCAGATGGCTCTTGTCCACTAGCTGCCCACTAGCTCATCCACAAGCCAATTGCGACAAAACACAATGTGAGATTTTGATATATTTTGATGGTTCGTGACAAATCATGAAGATCTGGAAGAATTTTCTCCGCAGCCATTGGGCTTTTTAGTGGCTGTGGGCTGCCTTGAGCCGAGCCTCAAGGCGGCGGTGAGCTGCGTGCATCTCAAATTATCCAAATCGCAGTGTAACAGAGTCTTCCGGAAAGATCTGTGGGGTAAACCCAGCATATACAATAATTACATATAATTACTGTACATCTATCTACACACATACACACACACATATACATACATACATACGTACGTACGTACGTACGTACATCGATACATCCATACATCCATACATCCATACCTACATACCTACATACCTACATACCTACATACCTACATACCTACATACCTACATACCTACATACCTACTACATACCTACATACCTACTACATACCTACATACCTACCTACCTACCTACCTACGTACGTACGTACGTACGTACGTACATATATATATAATTATATATATTTAATATATACACACCAGTATACACATTATACAATATATACCATGCATGATTTCCCAAACTGATCGGATTTATATATCGGCTACAAGAGAATGTACCTCTTTGTCTCGAAAGCTAAATGCCTTAGATTCTTAGACGCATATCAGGGACGCTAGGGAGGCTCCTGGCAGGTGTGGAAGTTGAACTATCATAACTATTGCAACCATCAGCATCCGACAAATGTGCACACCTAGCACCCCCCGGAGGCATGGCAAAGGTGGATGCTGATGGCAATGACACAAGCGCAGAATCTGAAGCCAAATTTCAGCCTAGCCTTCTGCAAAAGCATCTTGGTATATCTTGGTGCATGATTCGGGTGACATTGGCCGGGTCAGCAGTGTGAGCTGACGCCTCTCTGTTTCAATCCTCAGCATATGAGAAGAAACCCATCCATCATGAATCACAGTGGCATCACAGGTCAAGCTGAAGTTACTGTCGGAGTTGTTCGCCAGACGAACGGAGACGTGCTGAATCATTTTGAGCCACACTTGATGCTTTCAGCTTCAGAAGGCCTTGAAGCCAAGGTTGCTGCGTTTACTCCTCAGCTTCGTGAGTGCCAGTCTGAAATTCCTGATCCTAGCAGGGAGTTGCCTTTGGGCTTATCGAATTCGACAGATCTCCGTGCAGAAGTACGGCGACTTGGCTGACATAACTAGCTAGCGCTCGGCTAGCGCTCGACATGGCGCCATGGGCCCACAAATTTCATTTTGAGGTGCTTCCCTAGATGACTAGCCTAGATGTGTTAAAAGATCGGCTTTGTTCTGGTCGCTATGAGATGCAGACAACTGTGAGTGATGCAGGTTACTTGATCCACGAGTTCGACCCTTGGCCCTTCAGTTGCAATCATTCTTGGTGCAGGCAGCGGGGGCCCTGCGGCAGGGTCAAGAAGATGCTGCCAGAGCTGAGATGAACATGACCTAAGGTTCAACACGCGGGCCACAAAATATCTGGCGAAACATGGCTGGCATGCCTTCTTCCACTGGTATGATTACATGAGCCTCTCGGTTTGCAATTTCTTCATATCACCATAGACACAACAAAGGGAGGGAGGGAAGGTAAGACCTACAAAGCACGGTGAGAAAGGGAGAAATCGATCCAGCATCCGGCGTATTCCTTTGCCTCACTTAAGTTCACTTAAGGCCAGGTCAAGTCACGTACCATTTAAGACTTTGAAGTTAAGTCTTTTAAGTTCAGATGCACATTAGTCAGAAGATACGCATTAGTCAGATGCACATCACAGACGCAAACACGCGTGTTTTCTGCCAGAAATGTGTATGGAGCCGTATGGAACCATGCGCATATGCAGATGCACTTAAAGTATCTTAAAGTAGCATACAAAAGGGCATACTAGTCGAATATTTTTGCACTCACAAGAGAAAATCTAATCTTGCATAAATGCGTTAAATGTAGCACAAAGGCACAGTGCACTTGGCTTTTTGCTTATCGAATCATGATTTGTACATCTTCAGTCAGTTTACAAAAAGGGCTTCCTGCGGGCGGAGTGCCACCCGGGGGAGGGGTGAGCATGACAGGTTGGTATCCACTTGGCCGTCCCATTGGCACGACCATTTACCCAGGGATGCAGATCTTATCGGTGTCTTGGCTTTGGCTGCTAAAGGGGCAAATGGGGCAAATGGGGTAAGTGGCAGATCATCTCAAGTTTTTTTAGGACATTTAGTTCGGTGACAAATGACAAAGACCGCCGCGAATCGGCTTCAAGCTCTATTGAGAGAGTGGCATGGCTAGAAAACAAAAACAGGATAGATGACTTCTCCCTAGGTGTGGATTTGGCAATTTCTGAAGCTCTTCCCCAAGAAGACTGTAGACATGCCTGGCAGAGACCTGATTCCGGCCAACTGGCAACTTGGAGGCAATGCCAATTTCATGCCCTCTTCTGAGTCAGTGCTTCGACTCAAGGCATCTCAAGATGATGCAAGATGTTGTTTTGAGGGGAATTGCATTATATATGATTATATGTATATATATATATATGTGTGTGTGTGTGTGTCATTTTGTATAGTCATATAATCTTTCCATGGGAAGAAGATGGTTGCAGGACTTCAGATGAGTTGTTCACAGCACCAAGGCTGCCGATGCTGCCAGGGCATGGGCAACTTTCTATGGGGCCGATGTCTGTGAACGACGTGTGCGTCATGGTGCCTGCTTGGTGTCATGGTTTCAATCCAGAGCAGAAACAGCGGCCCTTTACCCAAGGATCCCAAGGTAAGATGCTTTCTGCATGCAGAAAAGGAGCCACATAATACCATGTTCTACCAGTTCAAATCTATCTACCATTGAATCTGTCAATCTATAGGTATTTCTTGAAAGGTTGCACTATGATTATATATATATATACTATGATGCTGCACTTCTGAACTTGGAACATCTTTGGAGCATCTTAGACCCCAAACACATCCAAACTTGGAACATGACATCTTTCTACAGAGGTTAGCCTCTGTGGCCACTTTTTCCATCTTCCTTCTGACCTGGGAAGTGTCTGAAAGCTCTGGCGCTGCGGTGTGTGCGGCACTTGTGATGTCCATCATTCCTGCGCACCTCATGCGCTCCATGACAGGCAGGGGTTGGTGCAGGGAGAACAGGGCTTTGAAGAGAATATAATTATATATATATATATGTACATATAATATTTATTACTATTATTATTACTATTTTTTATACATAGATATAGAATGATACAAAGGTCTATGGATTTAAGGAATGAACATGTCACTTGTAAGGAGCCACTAGAAAAGGAGCAGGTTGTTGCACAACCAGACAATCATCTCATGACACCCAAAAATCTAATCATGGAAAATTATCAGAGGGATTTCAGGAACAGATATATACAGAAACCCATTCGGAAACTCCAGCCGTGACAATGGTCAATAATTCAACACGTATACCAACATACCAATAGCTACTAATACTACAACAATGGCTCAACAATGCTCAACACCAGCGCACAATTTCAAGAGGAAACGTACAAACAAACAAACAGACTCAGAATTGCATCACCGGAATAGGAGTGGAGGTTGCACAAGCCAGAGGAGCAAACTCCAAGGATATAGATGCACGAGCAACGCAGATGACCAAATTGCTTCTATAACGCCGGAGTAAGTTGTCATATGTACTTGCATGTTGTGATCATCTATATTGCTCCAGATAATCCGCCGGCTGCACCCAGCTCTACCAAACAAAAAAAACCAGCAATGGGGCTGGGGGGTCAGTGTCATTTGCCGTCCTGGTGATGGCCGAAAAACGCACTGTCTTCATCTTCAAAACATGTCTGTGGAATTCTCGCTGCAGCGCCGATGCTAGGTGAGTTCGACAATGAATGTGTCGCAATGGCGGCTTTTTGCACCGCGTTTTGGCTTTGGTGTCGGAGCATAAGACACTCCAGTAGCTGGCCTTGGGCATTGCCTGCCGCTCTTGCTTACGTGCCTTGCTTATTAATGTAGCAAGGGTAAGGGCATTCTAGTTGCCACGTTTCTTTGATGTTTGACACATGTTTAGAAATGGGTGTCAGACATGGTCAAACATGATGCCAGACATGACCTTTTTGACGATAGTGTTTGGGAAAGGACATCAAGCTCCACATGAGGCAAGTGCTGTCGCAACCTGGGGCGGTTACATTTTTGCCCGTGCCTCAGCGCTGTGAGGATAGGTAAAATCACAAGAGATCGAAAGCATTCGAAAGCCAGGTTTGTTGCGATGCAGTTCAAATCGGCATCGAACCATATCAAACCATATCAAACCCATTTTTTGCATTTCCTCAATTTCCTCCATCTTGTCCTCCTGTGCGTTGTGTCGCCGTCCTTGAGGTGAACAATTTGATTGCACTGCATGCGGCTGTTCTGGTGGGCCTTGGAAAGTATGGCACAGGCTTGTACCGTGCCTACAGCATTTGGCGCCTTTGAGGAAAGTTAGTCTGAGTTGGCTTCTGGCAGCTTCTCAAACCTTCCATTTGAATTGAGGTCTGTACCTTTTATGGGTCTTTTGGGTTTGAGGTATATACCAGGATTCCGAGAAGATCGTTTAGCAGTTTAGCCTTACTCATCCTTACTCTCTTTATTCATTTTCATTAAACATATCATGTCATGTTACTTTTGATTTTTGCCCCATGAGATGAGGCACCCGAGAACAAACAATTTGTATCTATATACAGATGTGCGCTTTTCACAGTCTGAGGCGTTGTACTTCAGGAATTCCAGGAGCACGTTCTAAACGAAATACTGCTATCACTCTGCACAGCACTTGACAACAAACAGCTGGTGAACCGAAATTTGTCACAAGACTGCCTGTTGGCCTGTTGAGTGGTTTGTCTTTGGCAGTCTGCTACCTAGGTATGTTCTTGGAAGTGCATGCGCGACACTGGTGCCAGTAGTGGGGTTGATGCCCATCCGTTCCATTGAGCAGATGCCATCCATGGCCGTTTTCATGGGATTCCAGGCGGGGTGGGAAGGGCCAAGAGTTGGCCAACAAGAGTTGGCCAACAAGTTCAATTTATTTGATTTGTTCAATTTGCTTCTTTCATTCGCCTCAAGGCATCCAATATTGCAAAATATTGCAAATATGGTTGGGAGGCCCGACAGGCCCGACAGGCCATGTCTGCACCATGCGTTGTGAGGTGTTGGAACTCTGCGACCTTTGGCGAAAGAGACGTCCCATGAGCGGCCTGCGTTTTTTCTTCTTTCGGGTCAGCGTTTTTGTGACCATCGGTGTTGTGACCTGTGCTGTGTGTTGGAATCTTGGCAGAGTGAGCAGCTTTACTGTGCCAACCAGCTCCTTCAGCTGTGCTCCTTCAGCTGTTCATGAAAAAAACTGCAGACACAAGGCAGACTATGGGCATCAATTGTGGTATCGCTGTCATTGAGTCATGAGAGAGAGAGAGAGGGAGAGGTGTACAATCGCAACTGTGTATGCGGATCCACAACCTGTCATATATTATGCAAAAGCATATGCATATGCAATCATATGTATACCATATGCGGACTAGAATATATGTATACTTGTACACTATACGTATACTATGTATACAGTATACTATATATCTAATTATACCGTATACTGTATACACGTGTGCTTAGCAAAATCTTCAGCCCAGGGTGCTGCTTCAGTTCAACTACTTCTCACCGTGGTCCTCGCGGATTCGGGGTCTCTTCCTGAAGCACCGTAAGACGCTTGGCATGGACCGTGACGGATCGGTTGATCGAAGCGTTGCAAGGAAGCTGGGCACTTCAGACATGTGGGATATGTGGGATTGGCCAGACCTGTTCCCAGCATGCATTACATCAGTTGTAATTAACAACATGCAACAACCAGATACCACGATATATATATATATAATATACATTATACATGCACATAACATGATATAACTATCAATATCAACATCAATATCGATTGAAGATGATTGAAGCAATTTGGCTTATGATGTTTCTAGTTTCATATTGTGTGCTGCTGTGTACTCAGGCATCGCCAGGCATCAGTTTGATTTCGTTTGCCACTGCAGTAAGGGGGTGGGTCTTACATCCTGTCCAGCCAATGAGGACAGGAAATCCGCTTGTAGACTCAGTGGCAGAGCATCAAGCAGCCAATGAACAAGCCTACGACATGTACTTGAGCACCCCTAGATATTTCGCATGTGCTGGGCTCTTTTTCTGCTGGCACCAGCGAACTCCTGCCAAAATCTTCCCTGTCACTCGGTGAAGAGTCCCCCTCAAGCCCATTTTTTTGGCACAATTTTGGCATAGCTCATGATGCTCATGGATAGTATCCAGATGTATCCAGATGTATCCAGTATTCATTCAGAAATTCATTCCAAATCATTCCAATTTTGGTGGATCCATGGCCTTTGCTGCCTTGGTCGCGCTTCTGCCCAGGTGCTTTTTGCGGCAGTCGCTTACCACTTCTCATTGCAGCCTGCTAAAACCCGTGTATGCAAACTTTCAAGGTATGCTATGGTCCAGAAATGCTGCAAAGGGAGCAATTATTGAAATGTTGTTTAGGGTTGATTTGGCATGCTTTTGCACATGCTTATATTTTTGTGAACGCATTCGGGGCAAGCTTGTGACTGTTGTGAGATTTTGATGTTGTGAGTTTCATAATCCCAGGAAGATGAGTCGTCTCATCATCATTTGTGGTCCGATAGTGTCGATCCTGGCAGGCCAGACACAATCTCGAGGGGTAATTAGACTTGGAGATCGTACGGTAAGACTCAGAGTTAGAGATTCTGTGATTCTGGGATTCTTGGGAGCATTTATGCGCGCACTTTTACATACAGGAAGATGAGAATAAGGATGATGATGATGATGATGATGATGATGATGATGATGATGCTGCACTAACAGGTACCCATGCACGAAGAAATCACGCAGAAGTGTGTGAACATAAGCATGCAGAAATCACCAGCAAACCAAAGTGCAAGCCTCCGAGAAAGCCGGCAGGCTACCCTCTGGGCATCGTATTTGATTGGTGCATTGAGCAATGCAAACGCTTGGTTTGTGGTCCACTGCCATCGCTTCCTGAAGAAGATTTACCAAAGCGTACTGGCGCGCTGGGTATGTGGATCGGGTGGGCGGGTTGAGCTGCATGCTGAAAGCTCAAGGTCGAACGGACAAACAGAAATCATTCCTTTTTTGCTGTGAAATTGGTTCGGCCCCTTGCATGGTGTGATTTTGCGTTAGCTAGCTCCTTACCAGTTGGGTTTGCGTTGGCTATGCTGCTGTGCATGGTGATTTTTGGTGTCCGGACTTGGTTCGCGTGTTCACTGCCCTGTAAAGCTCAAATAGCACGTAGTACATCCTAGTACTCGATTTTGATCGTGGGCCATGCGGGCTCCCTCCTCAGCCTTCATGTCCAAGCAATGGTCAGGTGGTATGGGATCTATATATCGCTTGCTGAACAAGATTGTCAAGCCAGCCTCTTTGGTCGAAATTCTGGTTTGAAGGTTTTTGCTTATCAAAGCGCGGGCAAGTTGGCCTGATATGAGCAGGCCACAGAAAGGGTTGACTGGACAGAAAGGTGGCTATTGAACAAGATGAAACCACGAAGAAGTAAGGTCACCTACACTGACGAGCTGCGAAGTGTTGAGGCCCGGGCTTTGTAGAGTGTACCATGTAGGAACGTGATGGAACGTGATGGAACGTGATGGAATGTGGAACAATTGCAAACCATATCAAGCCACCAGGATGTCATGGGCCACTTCGCATTTCGGCTTCCATTGCTAGACCGTATCACCAGGCTTGCGTTCGGAGAGGGGGCTGGGAGCCGCCATTTTTTGGTGAATGAACTGGTGCAACTCCCACAAAAGGAAAGCTGTTGAGCTCAAGACACAACGTATCTCGCGGTCAGAGCAAAGCTGTTGGCTTATGAAGAGGGATGGGCAAACCATGGCAACCTGATCGCGATAATGGTGAATGGATTCCTGATGACTATTGTACATATTGAATCGTATTGATACATATTGTACTTCTTGCCAGACTAGTTGCAAGTTAAGGCAGGTTCAACGAAGCCAGTTTCACTGCTTCCAGTCATTTCAAGAGTTGAACCTGTCATTGCCTCTCAGCTGGTAGCATCATTGACTCTGGACGGCCCTTGGAAGGCTCGCTCTGGCATCACTAATTCTGAGTACCGCATGGCGAGAGATGCAGGACTGTTGGGTCAAGTTGGATCGATGGCATGCAGCATCATGCAGCACACAAACTTAATCAAACTTAGGCTTTTGAATCTTTCGAGCAGCCCCTTGCACCCAAGAGAGGGCCGGTATGGTCTAGTGGATACCTCATGCGTCAGGCCCGGGTTCAATACCTGGGTGCAACACTAGGTGGACAGGCGGGCCACTACCCCACCCCTGCAGTTAAGGGGATGAGCTAGGGTGTGGTCCGTAAAACACTCACCTTGCACCCAAGTACTGCAAGCAGCTGAGCGAAGCAGGATCCCTGGGAGAAGTTTGTTTCGCTCTGCAACTTGGCCAAGAAAAGATAGCTTGATCATGCTTGATCCAAAACCTTCCCATGGATGACCCTTTTCATCGTGCTTAGAATAGTGAGGGGCAAAAACACAGAGTTTCTTCGATTTTCACGTCTTCTGCGGTGCACCTCACAGCCCCCCCGACAATGAAAGCAGGCAACTCCTGCCCCCTTCTTTGCCCAGAAGTCGCCAGCTGATCTGCCGAGGTTATCAGCATGCTGACTCCCTGGCCGGCCCTGGTCTTGCGTATGAGGCACGCCTGCGAAATGGTCAGACCATCATTGTGGATGACTACTACCAAGGCAGGATGGTAGGGGAGGAAGCCAAGATCAACAAAGGATAGACAAGACGGTAGAAAGCACTACTGTAGAAAGCTATCTAATTATTTGTTTATCTATATATCAGTCCATGGGTAGAAAACCATAGAAAACCCTTTTGTGTTGGCCGCAGGCTACAAATGGATCGAGAGGAACACACCTTCGGACTCGCGAGTTTTGGCTTGGTGGGATTATGGCTATCAGATCACTGGCATTGCCAAGCGAACGTCGGTGGCTGATGGCAACACATGGAGCCCGAGCTGCAAAGACTGTGACTGGATATGACTGGCAGTGATGGCATCTGCATTTTCGACATCTTGGGCCTGGCATTGGAAAAAATGATGATTGATCTTTTGCCTGACGCTGAGGAATCACGAACATATTGCCACTATTGGCCGCATACTGTCTAATCCGGTGAAGAAGGCCCACAACATCATGCAACTTGCCTTGTCTCTGAGAGGGTGTACTTGATTCTTCTTTATCTTCTTGTACGTTATATGGTGAAGCCCTGTTTCAGATCCTACGATGCAGGTTTCTTTCAGCCAAGTCTGGCGGAAGCACAAGTGGTAGCGGTCAGTACTGGGTGGCATTGTCATAGGGAGGGCTATTTATTTATTTATTTTTTTTTTGCGGCAGGTTTTGTTGTTTTTTGGGGCGGGTTCCTGGTTCTATGCTTTCCTGTTTCTCTGATTTTCTGCTTTTCTGCTTTTCTGCTTCTCTGCTTTTCTGCTTCTCTGCTTTCCTGCTTCTCTGCTTTTTGCTTTCCCTGCTTCTCTGCTTTTCCTGCTTCTCTGCTTTCCTGCTTCTCTGCTTTTTGCTTTCCCTGCTTCTCTGCTTTTCCTGCTTCTCTGCTGTTCTGCTTTTTGCTTTTCCTGCTTCTTTGCTTTTCTGCTTCTTTGTTTTCCCTGCTTCTCTGCTTTTGTACTTCTGTGCCTTTCTACTTCTACTATTCTAATTTTTCTTTTCTTCAGTCATGTGTTTTTTGCTGCTCTACTTCCTGCTCCTTTGCTTCTTTGCTTCCTGTCTTTACTGTCTCTATGTTTTTCATTTTCTTTTGCTTTACTCTGTTCTGTTTGTATCCTAAATGAAACCCTAGAGAGACCCTAGGTGAAACCCAAAGAAACCCTAAAGAAATCCTAATAAGAAACCCTACATGAAAATCTAAATGAACCCTAAAGAAACCATAAATGAACCCTGAAGAAATCATAAATTAATCCTAAAGAAACCATACATGAAACCCTAAAGAAACTTTAAATGATACGCTAAATGACATCCCAAATAAACCCTAAACAACACTCTGAAAAAAACTAAATGAAACCTTAACTGACACCTTAGCTGAAACCCTAAATTGACACCCTAAAGGAACCCTAAATTGAAACTCTTAATCAAACCCTAAATGAAACCCTAAAGAAACCCTAAAGACACCCTAAATGACACCCTAAATGAAACCCTAAAGGAACCCTAAAGGAACCTACTTGAACGTTTAGAAATCGTGAAAAAGATCCTGATAAGAAACCCACGAACTCCTGAATGAAACCCTAAATTGAAACCCAAAATTGAAACCCTAAAGAAACCTGAAATGAAACCCTAAAGAAACTCTAAATGAAACCCTAAAGAAACCTTAAATGAGACCCTAAATGAAACCCAAACTGAAACCCTAAAGAAACCCTAAATGAAACCCTAAACGAAACCCTAAAGAAACCCTAAAGAAACCCTTAATGAAACCCTAAAGAAGCCCTAAAGAAACCCATTTGAACGTTTAGAAGTCCTGATAAGAAATCCTGATAAGAGACCCTACATGAAACCGCAAAAAACCCTAAATGAAACCCCAAATGAAACCCTAAACGAGACCCTAGAGAAACCCTAAATGTCACCCTAAATCGTGAAAAGAAATCCTGATAAGAAACACTGGAACGAAACCCTAAAGAAAGCTTACATGAAACCCTAAAGAAACCCTAAACGAAACCCTAAAGAAAGCTTAAACGAACTCCTGAATGAAACCCCCAATTGAAAATAATTGAAACCCAAAATTTAAACCCAAAAGAAACCTGAAATGAAACCCTAAAGAAACCTTAAATGAAGCCCTAAAGAAACCTTAAATGAGACCCTAAATGAAACCCAAACTGAAACCCTAAAGAAACCCTAAATGAAACCCTAAACGAAACCCTAAAGAAACCCTAAAGAAACCCTTAATGAAACCCTAAAGAAGCCCTAAAGAAACCCATTTGAATGTTTAGAAGTCCTGATAAGAAATCCTGATAAGACCCTACATGAAAAAGCAAAAAACCCTAAATGAAACCCTAAATGAAACTCTAAATGAAACCCTAAATGAAACCCTAAACAAAACCCTAAAGAAACCCTAAAGAAACCCTAAATGAAACCCTAAAGAAGCTCTAAAGAAACCCATTTGAACGTTTAGAACTCATGATAAGAAATCCTGATAAGAGACCCTACATGAAACCGCAAAAAACCCTAAATGAAACTCTAAAGAAACCCGAACCCTAAAGAAATCCTAAATGAAACCCTTAATGAAACCCTAAATGAAACCCTAAAGAAACCCTAAATGAATCCCTAAATAAAACCTTAAATGAAACCCTAAATGAAACCTGAAATGAAACCCTAAATGAACGCCCAAAGAACCTTCAAGAGATTCACATGAATGTTTGAAGCACCAAAATGTAGCAAATACCATGCAAATGAGAGGTTGAAATGCCAAAATCAAATACGATGCAAAATGGAAGGCAAACATGGCCAAATGTAGCAAATACCATGCAAAATGCAAAGTGACCATGCCAAAATGTAGCAAATACCATGCAAAACGACAGGTTCTAGTTCCAAACTGTTGCAAATACAATGCAAATGGTACCGGGAAAGAACGCCAAACAAAAATCCCAAACCTGAGGCCAAAAAAATCCAACAACTATTCTACACCCTTGTGATAGCTCTGGCTTCTGGATGCAAACATTGCCCCATCGCCCCATCGCCCCATCCCAAAGCAAGGAAGCATTTGGCAGACTACGTTCTCGTTTGGGCTGGCGAACGCGAGACCGACCTCCGCATCTCGGCCCACTTCGCGCGCATTGGGAACTCCGTCTTTCCGGACCGGGTGGATTGGGTGACTAGGAAAATATAGGAAAATATAGGAAACTTGAGTTAAAATAGTTAAAATATATTAAAATAGTTAAAAGGATTTGGAAGGATTCTGCGAGGTGAGAACGGTTTTGAATTTATGGCAGGTTGGACACAGAATACCAAGTCGACATGCGCAATGATCCACAGGCAAGCTTGCATCAGGGCAGAAGTCTCAGGATGACCCGTCATTTCACCCCTCCGCTCAGCTCGGAGTCTGGCCATTCTACACTTTCACCCGCACTGATACTTCAAAGATCTTGAAAGCACGTACCACGTGGCACATCGATCCAACATGATCCAACATGATCAAACAGCCAACGTCTCCGCAGGACATTTGTGGTCCTGCAGATCCCACCTGCAGCAGCTTGACAGCTCTATGGTAGGACTGTGGATGACACAGGCATACGGCATACATTTACGATCATTTACGTTTGGATGTGTTTGAATGCATTGGTTTCATATTGAGCATATACTGAGCATATTTAAGCATTGAAGCCGTCCATGATAATGCTCCAGGGATGGCTCAAATTGGATCAAATTGGATGAAAATGGTTCAAACATGTTCAAACATGTTCAAACACGCAGTTGCGACATCATGTTGCAAAGGCAAATATGCAGCATACCCTTCGCCTACTCCAATGATGCGAGCGTCTCTTGGTCATCAAGTTTAGCAGTCCGGATGGGAAATTGGAAGAATTGAATAGAGCGGCCCTTCAAGCCCTTCTATCTTTTTTGCGGGATACATGTTGCGGTGGCACTCGCTGTTTCTGATCTTGGCTTTGCAGGTCCTTCGTATATAACGCGGTGAAGCACAATCTCGTCGATGGTGTCCCTTGGCGGCCTTGCAAGCCTTCCACGCGTGCGTCTTTCCACTGACTTTCAGTGCGAAATTATCGAATTTATAGGGTCATTGTGGCTTGAGATCAACATGTGAACAAGGTAGATGTGAAGCCATTTTAGATGGTGTTACAATGTGTTGTTTTGAACAGTTTCCAGCGACTCGAAAGTGTAAGCAATTCTGTGGGGCATATTCTAGGCTTATGGCATCACCAACCGGTCACCAAGCGGTCACCAACCCTGGGTAAAGCAGGTGCGATTGGATCCAAAGCTCTTCAAAGAGGTGCACACCACAAAGCATGGCCTGATGCGGATCTACCAGGCTCACAGGGAGATGGTACGAGATGGTGACGGAACCTCCACTGAATCCTGAAGCCCTCGAGACAGATGGAGAGCTTTTGAATACTTTGAGAAACTATATATCTTACATATCTTAAGCATTCACAAGATACCAGTGACTAAAATAAGATAATAGAATGGGCTAGCGCCCTGGTGCCGCCGACCCCCCCTATTTGGGGGGTCCTGTAGAGAGATAGAGAGATAGAGGGATAGATAGATGGATGGATGGATGGATGGACGGATGGACGGATGGATATTGAGGGGCACCTGGCAGCCAGTGGTCTTTTCTAGTAACAAGTAAATTGCCCGGCAGCCATTCTGGGCTGATGCATCCTTGAACTCTCCGCCCACTTATGCTCAGGAAAGACAAATAATACGTTGCTATCAAGATTCTTTTTTTGCGAAGCTTAGAGACCATTGCAGCAATCTTCCCACATCGATCAGCGCATTCAACCTTTGGGAGGCTCCAAGAGTCTAAGAGAAAAATATGGGAGCAAGAAGATAGTCAGGGCAAGTTCCATAAAAGCCCAAATAAGATATAGTGTAAGTTTATAGGCCATCATGTAGAAGCCACCCGAAGTTCCCACAGTCACTGTGGGCCATGCAACTCTCCTTTGCCACCTCTTCGGCGGCATCATCTTCTGGAAGGAGGCAAAGGCAGGCTGCAACGCTGGGACAGCAAGAGCTTACAGCAGGGCTTGGTGGAAGCTGCTGCGAGGGGGAGTGTAAAGTGTAGAGTGTAGAGTGTGGAGTGTGGAGTGTAAAGTGTGCAGTGATGAGGAGTGTAAAGTGTAACTTGTAAAGCATGGAGTGTCGAGTGAAGAGTGTAGAGTGTAACGTGTAGTGTGTAAAGTATAGAGTGTGGAGTGTGGAGTGTTGAGTGTAAAGTGTGGAGTGTGGAGTGAAAAAGTAAAAAAAAAGTGTGGAGTGTAGAGTGTCAAGTGTAGAGTGTAAAGTGTAGAGTGTGGAGTGCAAAGTGTGGAGTGTGGCCTGCAGCATGTAGCTGTAAGAGTTGTTGCCTTGGAGGCCTGCGGAAGCGTTTGGGGGGTTTGAGGGCGGGCAACGGCAGTCTTGAACCCCCTGAAAAACAGATGGCAGGGGCATGTAGCTGTAGCTGTAAGAGTTGTTGCCTTGGAGGCCTGCGGGAGGGTTGGAAGCGTTTGGGGGGTTTGAGGCCGCGCAAATGGCAGTCTTGAACCCCCTGAAAAACAGATGGCAGGGGCATGTAGCTGTAAGAGTTGTTGCCTTGGAGGCCTGAGGGAGGGTTGGAAGCGTGTGGGGGGTTTGAGGCCGGGCAAACGGCAGTCTTGAACCCCCTGAAAAACAGATGGCAGGGGCATGTATAGCTGTAAGAGTTGTTGCCTTGGAGGCCTGCGGGAGGGTTGGAAGCGTTTGGGGGGTTTGAGGCCAGGCAAACGGCAGTCCTGAACCCCATGAAAAACAGATGGCAGGGGCATGTAGCTGTAAGAGTTGTTGCCTTGGAGGCCTGCGGGAGGGTTGGAAGCGTTTGGAGGGTTTGAGGGCGGGCAAACGGCAGTCTTGAAGCCCCTGAAAAACAGATGGCAGGGGCATGTAGCTGTAAGAGTTGTTGCCTTGGAGGCCTGCGGGAGGGTTGGAAGCGTTTGGGAGGTTTGAGGGCGGGCAAACGGCAGTCTTGAACCTCCTGAAAAACAGATGGCAGGGGCATGTAGCTGTAAGAGTTGTTGCCTTGGAGGCCTGCTTGGAGGCCTGCTTGGAGGCCTGCGGAAGCGTTTGAAGCGTTTGGGGGGTTTGAGGGCGGGCAAACGGCAGTCTTGAACCCCCTGAAAAACAGATGGCAGGGGCTTGTAGCTGTAGCTGTAAGAGTTGTTGCCTTGGAGGCCTGCTTGGAGGCCTGCGGAAGGGTTGGAAGCGTTTGGGGGGTTTGAGGGCAGGCAAACGGCAGTCTTGAACCCCCTGAAAAACAGATGGCAGGGGCATGTAGCTGTAAGAGTTGGTGCCTTGGAGGCCTGCGGAAGCGTTTGGAAGCGTTTAGATGGCAGGGGCATGTAGCTGTAAGAGTTGTTGCCTTGGAGGCCTGCTTGGAGGCCTGCTTGGAGGCCTGCGGAAGCGTTTGAAGCGTTTGGGGGGTTTGAGGGCGGGCAAACGGCAGTCTTGAACCCCCTGAAAAACAGATGGCAGGGGCATGTAGCTGTAGCTGTAAGAGTTGTTGCCTTGGAGGCCTGCTTGGAGGCCTGCGGAAGGGTTGGAAGCGTTTGGGGGGTTCGAAGCCAAGCAAATGGCAGTCTTGAACCCCCTGAAAAACAGATGGCAGGGGCATGTAGCTGTAAGAGTTGTTGCCTTGGAGGCCTGAGGGAGGGTTGGAAGCGTTTGGGGGGCTTGAGGCCGGGCAAACGGCAGTCTTGAACCCCCTGAAAAACGCATGTATAGCTGTAAGAGTTGTTGCCTTGGAGGCCTGCGGGAGGGTTGGAAGCGTTTGGGGGGTTTGAGGCCAGGCAAACGGCAGCCTTGAACCCCATGAAAAACAGATGGCAGGGGCATGTAGCTGTAAGAGTTGTTGCCTTGGAGGCCTGCGGGAGGGTTGGAAGCGTTTGGGGGGTTTGAGGGCGGCGAACGGCAGTCTTGAACCCCCTGAAAAACAGATGGCAGGGGCATGTAGCTGTAATTGGAGGCCTGCGGGAGGGTTGGAAGCGTTTGGGGGGTTTGAGGCCGGGCAAACGGCAGTCTTGAACCCCCTGAAAGACAGATGGCAGGGGCATGTATAGATGTAAGAGTTGTTGCCTTGGAGGCCTGCTTTGAGGCCTGCGAAGCGTTTGAAGCGTTTGGGGGGTTTGAGGGCGGGCAAACGGCAAGCTTGACCCCCTAAAAACCGAATGGCAAGGGCATGTCGCTGTTCTTTTTTGGGGTGTTTGTGAGAGAGGGAACAAGGTATATAGTTTTTGTCCCTTGGAGGCCTGTCTTGGAGGCCTGTCCCGGAGGTTGGAAGCGTTGGGGGGTTTTTGAGGGCGCAAAAACGGCACGTCTTGAACCCCTTGAAAAACAGAATGGCAGAGCATGTAAAGCTGTAAGATTGTTGCCTGGAGGCCTGCGGGAGGTGGAACGTTTTAGAAATGGCAGGGGCCTGGTAGCGCAAGACGTTGTTGGCCTTGGAGGCCGCTGGGGGGGCAATGCCTAGCGGAAGCGTTTGAGCGTTTTGGTTTTTTGATTGAGGGCGGGCAAACGGCAGTCTTGAACCCCCTGAAAAACAGATGGCAGGGGCATGTAGCTGTAGCTGTAAGAGTTGTTGCCTTGGAGGCCTGCTTGGAGGCCTGCGGAAGGGTTGGAAGCGTTTGGGGGTTTGAGGGCGGGCAAACGGCAGTCTTGAACCCCCTGAAAAACAGATGGCAGGGGCATGTATATAGCTGTAAGAGTTGTTGCCTTGGAGGCCTGCGGGAGGGTTGGAAGCGTTTGGGGGGTTTGAGGCCGGGCAAACGGCAGTCTTGAACCCCCTGAAAGACAGATGGCAGGGGCATGTATAGATGTAAGAGTTGTTGCCTTGGAGGCCTGCGGAAGCGTTTGAAGCGTTTGGGTGGTTTGAGGGCGGGCAAACGGCAGTCTTGAACCCCCTGAAAAACAGATGGCAGGGGCATGTATATAGCTGTAAGAGTTGTTGCCACGGGAGGGTTGGAAGCGTTTGGGGGGTTTGAGGCCGGGCAAACGGCAGTCTTGAACCCCCTGAAAAACAGATGGCAGGGGCATGTATAGATGTAAGAGTTGTTGCCTTGGAGGCCTGCGGGAGGGTTGGAAGCGTTTGGGGGGTTTGAGGCCGGGCAAACGGCAGTCTTGAACCTCCTGAAAAACAGATGGCAGGGGCATGTAGCTGTAAGACAGGCTTGAACCCCCTGAAAAGCAGATGGCAGGGGCATGTAGCTGTAAGAGTTGTTGCCTTGGAGGCCTGCGGAGAGTTTGGAGGGTTTGAGGCCGGGCAAACAGCAGGAGCATGTAGATGGCTGGGGCATGTAGCTGACAGAGGTGTTCAGGGGCATGTAGCTGTAAGAGTTGTTGCCTTGATGGCGTGTGCCTTGCTTGCGACCCGAGAGCCAAGTTCCACACCTCCGGTGGTCCCAGGCGCCGCCCCTGCCTTGGCAAAGGCCGGGGTCGGCGGACATTTGCCCCGCATGCAAAGGGAATGTGGCCAGTGAGGTCAAGACAGGGCAAATAGACCATCGAACGGTCTGTGGGAACCAGTTTTCTGTGAGGGACGGCGTTGTGAAGGAAAAAGCGTATGTTTCCATTTGCCCCGCATGCAAAGGGAATGTGGCCAGTGAGGTCAAGACAGGGCAAATAGACCATCGAACGGTCTGTGGGAACCAGTTTTCTGTGAGGGACGGCGTTGTGAAGGAGAAAGCGTATGTTTACATTTGCCCCGTTTGCAAAGGGAATGTGGCCAGTGACGTCAAGACAGGGAAAATAAACCATCGAACGGTCTGTGGGAACCAGTTTTTTGTGAGGAACGGCGTTGTGAAGGAGAAAGCGTATGTTTACATTTGCCCCGCTTGCAAAGGGAATGTGGCCAGTAACGTGAAGACAGGGCAAGTAGACCATCGAAGCGTCTGTGGGAAGCAGTTTTCTGTCAAGGACAGCGTTGTGAAAGAGAAAGGTGGTAAACGACAAGCTGGAGGGTTTTAGGGCTGGCAAACGGCAGACTTGGACGCCCATAAAAAGCCATTGATGTGTGCCCTTGGGGTGCCTGTTGGCTGCCAGAGTGGCCATAAGAAGCCATTGATGTGTGGCCTTGGGGTGGCTGTTGGCTGCAGGATGAAGCATGCCAAGTCAACGTTTTAAGGGTTTCAAGGTTTTTAAGGGTTTCGAGCGTTTTAAGGGTTTTAAGGATTTGGAGGGTTTTAGGGCTGGCAAACGGCAGACTTGGACGCCCATAAGAAGCCATTGATGTGTGCCCTTGGGGTGCCTGTTGGCTGCCAGAGTGGCCATAAGAAGCCATTGATATGTGGCCTCGCGGTGGCTG